AGTCTATGTCTCTTTGTAGGTCTCTAAGAACTTGCCTTATGAATCTGGGTCTGTATGGGGTGCATATATATTTAGGTTAGCTCTTCTTGTTGCATTGATCCCTTTACCATTATGTAATACCCTTCTTTGTCTTTTTTGATCTTTGTTGGTTTAAAGTCTGTTTTATCAGAAACTAGGATTGCAACCCCGGTTTTTTTGTTTGTTTGTTTGTTTGTTTTGCTTTCCATTTCCTTGGTAAATATCCCCCCATCCTGCCAGACACGATTGCTCATGCCTGTAATCCCAGCACTTTCGGAGGCGGACGCAGGTGGATCACCTGAGGTCAGGAGTTGGAGACCAGCCTGACCAACCTGAAGAAACCCCATCTCTACTAAAAATACAAAATTAGCCGTGCATGGTGGCACATGCCTGTAATCCCAGTTACTTGGGAGGCTGAGGCAGGAGAATGGCTTGAACCCAGGAGGCGGAGGATGTGGTGAGCTGAGATCGTGCCATTGCACTCCACCTTGGGCAACAAGAGCAGAACTCTGTCTCAATAAAAAATATACATATTATACATACACACACACACACACACACACACACACACACACATTCCTCCATCCCTTTATTTTGAGCCTATGTGTGTCTTTGCACGTGAGACTGGTCTTCTAAATACAGCACACTGCTGAGTCTTGACTCTTTATCCAATTTGCCAGTCTGTGTCTTTTAACTGGGGCATTTAGCCTGTTTACATTTAAGATTAACATTGTTATGTGTGAATTTGATCCTGTCATTATGCCAGCTGGTTATTGTTCCCGTTAGTTGATGTGGTTTCTTCATAGTGTAAATGGTCTTTACAATTTGGTATGTTTTTGCAGTGGCTGGTACCAGCTGTTCCTTTCCATGTTTAGTGCTTCCTTCAGGAGCTCTTGTACGACAGGCCTGGTGGAGATGAAATCTCTCAGCATTTGCTTGTCTGTAAAGGATTTTAGTTCTCCTTTGTTTATGAAGCTCTCCTTTGCTTATGAAGCTTAGTTTGGCTGGATATGAAATTCTGGGTTGAAAATTTTTTTCTTTAAGATTGTTGAATATTGGCCCCCAGTCTCTTCTGGCTTATAGGGTTTCTGCCAAGAGATCTGCTGTTAGTCTGATGGGCTTCCCTTTGTGGGTAACCCGACCTTTCCCTCTGGCTGCCCCTAACATTTTTTCCTTCATTTCAACCTTTGTGAATCTGACAATTATGTGTCTTGGGGTTGCTCTTCTCAAGGAGTATCTTTGTGGCGTTCTCTGTATTTCCTGAATTTGAATGTTGGCCTGTCTTGCTAGGTTGGGGAAGTTCTCCTGGATATCCTGAAGAGTGTTTTCCAACTTGGTTCCATTCTGTCACTTTCAGGTACACCAATTGAACGTAGGTTTGGTCTTGTCACATAGTCCCATATTTCTTGGAAGTTTTCTTTGTTCCTTTTCATTCTTTTTTCTCTAATCTTGTCTTCATGCTTTGTTTCACTAAATTGATCTTCAATCTCTGATATCCTTTCTTCCACTTGATCGATTCAGCTATTGATACTTGTGTATGCTTCACGACGTTCTCGTGCTATGTTTTTCAGTTCCATCAGGTCATTTATGTTCTTCTCTAAACTTGTTATTCCAGTTAGCAATTCTTCTAACCTCTTTTCAAGGTTCTTAGCTTCCTTGCCTTGTATTAGAACATGCTCCTTTAGCTCAGAGGAGTTTGTTATTCTCCACCTTCTGAAGCCTACTTCTGTGACTTTGTCGAACTCGTTCTCTGTCCAGTTTTGTTCCCTTGCTGGCAAGGAGTTGTGATCCTTTGGAGGAGAAAAGGCATTCCAGTTTTTGGAATTTTCAGCCTTTTTGTGCTGGTTTTTCCTCTTCTTCGTGGATTTATCTACCTTTGGTCTTTGATGCTGGTGACCTTCAGATGGGATTTCTGTATGGCTGTCCTTTCTGTTGATTTTGATGCTATTCCTTTCTGTTTGTTAGTTTTCCTTCTAACAGTCAGGCCCCTCAGCTGCAGGTCTGCTGGAGTTTGCTGGAGATCCACTCCAGACCCTGTTTTCCTGGTTATCACCAGTGGAGACTGCAGAACAGCAAAGATTGCTGCCTGTTCCTTCCTCTGGAAACTTCATCCCAGAGGGGCAGCTGCCAGATGCCAGCTGGAGCTCTCCTCTATGAGGTGTCTTTCAACCCCTGCTGGGAGGTGTTTCTCTGTCAGGAGGCATGGGGGTCAGGGACCCACTTGAGGAGGCAGTCTGTCCCTTAGCAGAGCTCGAGTGCTGTGCTGGGAGATCCACTACTCTCTTCAGAACTGGCAGGCAGGAACGTTTAAGTCTGCTGAAGCTGCTCCCACAGCTACGCCTTCCCCCCAGGTGCTTTGTCCCAGGGAGATGGTAGTTTTATCTATAAGCCCCTGACTGGGGCTGCTCCTTTTCTTTCAGAGATGCCCTGCCCAGAGAGGAGGGATCTAGAGAGGCAGCCTGGCTACAGAGGCTTTGCTGAGCTGTGGTGTGCTCCACCCAGTTCGAACTTCCCGGCAGCTTTGTTTACACTGTGAGGGGAAAACCACCTACTCAATCCTCAGTAATGGTGGACACTTCTCCCCTCACCAAGCTCAAGGGTTCCAGGTCGACTTCAGACTGCTGTGCTGGCAGCGAGAATTTCAAGCCAGTGGATCTTAGCTTGCTGGGCTCCATGGGGATGGGATCTGCTGAGCTAAACCACTTGGCTCGCTGGCTTCAGCCTCCTTTCCAGGGGAGTGAACGGTTCTGTCTTGCTGGGGTTCCAGGTGCCACTGGGGTATGAAAAAAAAAAAACAAAAAAACTCCCGCAGCTAGCTCGGTGTCTGTCCAAATGGCTGCCCAGTTTTGTGCTTGAAAACCAGGGCCCTGGTGGCATAGGCACCCGAGGGAATCTCCTTGTCTGCAGGTTGCAAAGACCCTGGGAAAAGAGTAGTATCTGGGGCCAGAGTGCATCATCCCTCACGACACAGTCCCTCAAGGCTTTCCTTGGCTAGGGGAGGGAAATCCCCAACCCCTTGCGCTTCCTGGGTGAGGCGACACCCTACTCTGCTTCAGCTCACCTTCTGTGGGCTGCACCCACTGTCTAACCAGTCCCAGTGAGATAAGCTGGGTACCTCAGTTGGAAATGCAGAAATCACCCGCCTTCTGCATTGATCTTGCTGGGAGCTGCAGACCAGAGCTGTTCCTATTTGGCCATCTTGCCAACCAATTTTAGACATTTTAATAATATAATGTGGCAACTTTGAAAATCAAATTCTCCCCTCTCTTCAGGATTTGTTGCTGTTGCTATTCAGTAACTTTTCTGAACTAATTCCGTAAAGTTTGTATTATTTATTTTGTAGGACCACTGAAGTCTCTGCTCAGTTAGGTTGGTAGTCAGCTTAAAATCAGACAAAGGTTTCTTAAATGGCCGGAACCTATAAGTCTCCTAGCCTTCACCAAGGGGCTCTCTATCTTAAACATTCTGCAAGGCAGTTTACAACTTTGACTCAGGCTCCACTTCCTGCTTGCTCAGACTATCAAGGTTAGCCAAAGGTGAGTGCCTAGAGCCATCTCAGGTCTTCCCGGGAATGCACACAGCTCTAAGTTTGCACACAGTTTCCCAAGAATATGTCAGAGCTTTCCAAAGCCCCCTATAAACATCTCATTACCCAGCTTTTCCTTTTCAGCTTTTTGATTATTATTTTGCCCCAACTGCCTCAGGTAGCAATTACTGTTGATTGCTTTTGATGAATGCCCTCAAAGAAAAGGTTGTTCACATGGGGACAGCTCCAAATCAGGTCAAATAAAGACAGCCTTATGAGTGGCATTTTTGAGGGAACCATGAGGTATGTCAAACGATGATAACTCTCTGGGAATGAGGCATTGAAGAAGCTCCAACTGTGTTCTGCTCCATCCAATGGCTTCCAGACAGCTGTTGGTTTTCAAGGCTACCATGGAGCTGGATAGATTAGGATAGGAATATGGCAAAACACCACAAAGCTCCAAGGGGAATGAAAATACATGTCAGTGCAGAAACTTGTACTTGGTTGTTTATAGCAGCATTACTCACAGTAGCTAAAAAGTAGAAAACTTAAATATCCATTAACTGATTAACGGATAAACAAAATGTTGTATATCCATAAAACAGGGTATTATTCAGCCATAAAAAGGAATGAAATACTGATACATGTTACAGTGTGAATGAACCTTGAAAATATTACGCTAAGTGAAAGAGGCCGATCATAAAAGGCCACATATTGTATTATTTCATTCATATAAGATATGGATTAGTGGTTGTTTATGGTTAGGGGAATAGAGAGGTGATAGCTAAAAGGTAACAGATTTATTTTTGAGGTAATGAAAACGTTCTAAAATTGACTGATGATGATGGTTGCACACATGTGTGAATATTCTAAAAATCGTTAAACTGTACATTTTAAATGTAAGAATTGTATGGTATGTGAATTATATCTCAATAACACTTTTAAACAATGCCACAAAACTTGTGTTCTTATTAAGATTCAGCTGATTTTCTTGAATAAATGTTGACAGGACTGATATAAGCCTTTGGTAATTAGTGGAGGTCTGAAAAGTTGGCACTGACAATTTTTTCCAGTGTTCCCATTAATTTTTTGGAGGAATTTTCAGGTGGTCCTTACGATGACATTTTTGCTGACATCCTTCATTCACTTTTAATGCTCAGTACAACAGTTTGTTCCGATCACCCTTAAACAAAACACAGCATTCTGTTCTAAGTGATAATGCTAAATATACCACCGTCCTCTCTTTAGTACTCTCATAGGTACTATAATCTATTTACCCCGATATTCTTTCCAGTCTGTTTGATGTATTTCTCTTCTGTTTTCCTCTCTACCTCCACCCTAATAACCTAGCTGAGGAGCAGACAGCAGTGGGTGATGTGGGGAACTACTGAAGAGCTTAATATTTTACACTCCCCTGCTCTCACCTCCCTGTGTTTCTCCTCCACCCCCACTCTAGGTGTCCTATGTGAAAGCCATTGACATTTGGATGGCAGTTTGCCTGCTCTTTGTGTTCTCAGCCCTACTAGAATATGCTGCCGTTAACTTTGTGTCTCGGCAACATAAAGAGCTGCTCCGATTCAGGAGGAAGCGGAGACATCACAAGGTAGGCCTTTGGGTCACTGCCTAAGGAGGGATAGCTGGTAGTGAACAAAAGATTTCTAAGCAGTCTTGTCTGTGTTATTTGTTTCAATGGTCCACCCTTCTCAATGTGCAAGGCAGGTTAGAAACAGAAATTAAACACCTAGAGGTCTCAGCTTTCCCTCCCATAAATAATGCCCTAGAGTTGGGTCTATAGGCAGTCACTCTTCGAATCGTAACAGTAACACTACAGAAATTATCAAGTTATACCTAAAGGCAGAACTAATTAATTAAAAGCTGATGGGGTCAAGAAAATAACTAACTATAAATCTAAAAGATTGGGAGATGTCCATTGGCTTTTTTCTGCAAGCCTGCATTGTTTTAATAGGCTTGATTCCAGAAGACAATTGCACCACAAAAGGTGAGATCTTAAAGTAGAATGCCCAGGTTCAGGCCTTTGCTTCCTGCCTCCAGGAAAGAGGCAACAAGCAAGATCTCCGCCAGAGTGGGTTCTCTCTCCATATGAGGGATTGAAAAAAGGAGTATTTGACATGGCACCTCTGAAAAGTTACCAACCTCTGTTCACAAACTGCTCCATACCCTGGGTCCATAACTAGTTCCCCAGAAGATCCAACCACCCTGGCTTTTTCCTTAGTTCTTCAAACATACACACAGGACTTTTAATATCTTGTTCTCTTTCCCTGTACTGCTTTTCCAGTACACTGTGTGTCCTAGCAAATGCCATGTTCCAATTGAACTCAATTTCTAAACTTCTAAAAATGTATCTCGATTTAAAAGCGTAAATTCAATGATGTGATTTTTTAAAGCCAATCTCTTCCACCAAATCGCAAGCTCCATAAAAGCAGAGACCGTGTTTGTTTTTGCTCCAAGGTCTATCTCTGGTGCCTAACACAATGCCTAACATACAGTGAGCATGCAATAAGTATTTGTTAAACAAATGAACAAAGGGATAAACAAACGATTAGGTTGATGCAAAAATAATTGCAGTTTTGGCCATTAAAAGCAATAAAGAAGAAGCCTCCAGACAGAGAGTCTGAAGTTTTTCCAGTGACAGATTAGGGCAACCAGGGACCCTGTCATAGCGTTGCAGGTCACAGCACGTACCTGCAATGTGCCAGGTCCCACAAGCTTTAGACTGACCTATATAAAATCGTTGTCTATTAGTCAGTAAAGCTCAAAAATAAAATAAAACAAAACAAAATAGTTGTCTGCCCAAGCACAATGTGCTGTGACAAAGGACCCTGCCTCTTAGTTTTCTTTAGTATGTGACTTCGAGCTAGCCTATTCTTGGGCCCAGGTTCTCCATGTGCAAAGTGCATATAAAGGGAAACTCTGGTGAGAATTAAATCAGGGGATGCCAAAGTAGCTTTAAGTTTTGTTCCTGCCACACAAGTGCCAAGGATTTAAATGATTACATATACACACATTTCCATCAGTATGTTTCTTAAACATCAGCAATCTGATTCAATTAACTTCTGGCAGTTTACCACAGGGAGGAGGCCGACATTCCAAGACAGAAGACGTTCATGGGAATTAAGATATCACCATCCTTCTAAACTACATTAAGGAGGAAATTGTCTTGGGTTCAGCAAGCCAGATAGAACTTCTTAAATGACCCCTGGTTTTAGTTACTCTATGTTGTCCATTTAATACCTAACCTCTGATGCTTTAAAAAAAAAAAAAAAAAAAAAGTCTAATTAAGAAACTGGCACGATGGTTTGTGCCTATAATCCCAACTATTAGGAAGGCTGAGGTGAGAGGATTGCTTTAGCCCAGGAGTTCCAAACCAATGTGGGCAACATAGTGACTTTGTCAAAAAAAAAAAAAAAAAAAGAGAGAGAGAGAGAAAGAAAAGAAAAGAAGGAAAGGAAAGAAAGGAAAGAAAAAAAAGAAAGAACTAAAGAAAGAAACTGACCAAACATAACTATCCCTGGGATTTTATTTTTCCTTTTCTCCCCCCGCCCCCATAGACTAGCTGCTTTTTGTAATTTCGTCTGCTAGAGACAGTTGTTGTAAACACTAATTTGAAAAGACTATGTCCAAGATATTTTACTAGCACCAGCCCTTTTGATTGGGCACTGCACAGCTCCAGTAGATGCTGTTTGCATGGACTAAAATGAGAATGGAGCCTCCTAAAGATATATAGTATGGTGGGCCTATGGTACTTTCAAAGGCTGCTTCTACCTTCCCCAAATATCTACCAGTTTGACACACTAGAAGAAAACAAACACTATCTCTCTGGCCAGATAAAGTGTGAATAAGGCCACTAGCTAGATTTGATCAGATTCTCCTGCTCAGTTCCCTCCTGGAAGATACCTCAGCAATCACCCCATCCACTCCTTCCATGCAACTGATGAGGGAGACCCACAATAGCAAGGCCAAGTCACCAGTATCATGAGGCACTACTGGCAAAGGCAGGAGAGGTGCTGAAAGACCCGAGACTCTCCTCCAAACATTAACCATATCACCGTGAGTTCTTATCTGTTCATCAGTGTGTCCATCCTGAAGCAGATAAAAATGGCCCTGCATTTACTAGATCTTAAATAAAAACTAAGCCTCATCACAAGGCAGAGGTCAAAAACTAGTAGCCAGAAGGCCAAATTTGGTGTGCAAATATCTTTACTTTGGCCTGGAGTGTTTTTAAAATCTGGACTAAGGGGTCAGCATTTAAAAATCACACTTCTGGCTTCACTAGAAAAAAATCACAGCATCCAGCCACACTGGATGTGCTTCCCATAAGGTACTGGTACACTGGAACTGCCTTTAGGTAGGGAATGCATTTTCCAATTAATACCATCCCTTCTAACCAGGGACATTTCTCAGCCCCAACTCACTTTACCACTCACATTTCTCCTGCCTGCCTCCCTGTATGCATTTGAATTAATGTAATCTCATTCATAAGGGCTCTTAAGTTGGCCCAAATATCAGAAATTACAATGATGCAGAATTAAGCTCACCATAAAGAATAGTTTCCTTTAGAGTAAGCCACTCTGGAAGTGATTTGTACACTAGAGGTGTACCAGTTTGTTCTGCAGAAACCTCTCTTTAACAGGAAGTTTGCAGACGGGATTTTAAGTCCCAGATGGTGAGTGGAGAAGAACTAGCTACATGCCTGAATTTCTCAGAGCCTGTGATCTTGGCCAGCTTTCCCAACTCCCACCATCTTCCCATGTTGTCTCATTTATTGTGCAGAAAGCATCTGGTTCTCGAATTCTCTGGCCGGCCTCCTTAGGCAAATTATTAGGAAACCATATCTGTGAGCACCAGACTCAGCAGGCATACTACTAGCAACCTCCCTGAGTTCCAGAGTACACTACCAGATTTCCCCTGCTCCAGCTCCAAGCCGCTCTAGATGCAGTTGGGCATGCATTTCCTGCCACCTGCTGGTTCCAATAAGAATAGCAAGCCTTTTACCAGTCATTCCTAGGGAATTTTTCTCCCAGACACAGTATGAAATTGATAATCCTCCAGCTAGATGGGGTCTTCAATCCAAACCTCTACTCCTTCCATTCCCATGTTTAACAGATGAAAGGCAAAGAATAATTCACCCAAAGCAGCATAAAAAGTTAATTTGGTACTTCCTCCTACCTAACTAGGTCCCAGTTTAAAATAAAAAATAAAATAAAATAAAACACCACCCCAGCTCCAGCAAGGGGAGATTTTCATTGAAATGCAATAGTGTCAGACTTACACCCCCTTCTAAGTACTTGGCCGGCTCCCCCCGGCTCCTCTCCTTGGCCCTGGCATTGAATCTTCTACTGTTGCCCTATTCATAGACAAGTACTTACTGAACACCTGATTGCCAGGCACTGTATGTAGCACATCCTCTTCCTCCTCACTTTTGCAATGGTGTTGGACAGGATTCATTCATTTTCCAAGGATTTCTTGAGCATTTACCATATGTCTCAAACCTTTCTGGTGCTAAAAATACAACTCCATTTGAACAAACAAACAACAACAAAAAAAAGCAGCTAAAGCTGGTGAAGATATACAAGTAAACATTTGCTCAACAAACATATACCAAATTTTGAGCTTATGAACCAGGGACTATGTTCATATGTTCAGTGTTGAGAGTGCAGTGAACATGACAGACTTTGCCTCTACTTTCATGGAGCTTATAATCTAATAAGAGACAGATGTTAATGAAGAAATTACCAACAATGTGATAAGAGCTTTAAAAAAAGACGGAGATATGTACAGAGAGCTTATGGAGCACACAGCAGGAACGGCTAGCCTATACTTGGGAGCTCAGAGAAGGCTTCTGAGGAAAAATTAGGTGAAAGAGGAGTTGGAGCCAAGAGATGGGGTTGTGAGTGTGTTCTAGGCAGGGAGAACAACTTGCACAAAGGCAAGAAAGGAATTCAAGAAAAGAACCATGACATTTTCAAATATAAGGAAATATTTCGGTGACTAAAGACACCAGATAGAAATGGCACAAGATGAGACTGGAAAAGCAGGCAGCGTCCAGGTTCTAAGGCCTTGTTTATCGTGTTCAGGATTTTAATTAACCTGAAGTCAGTGGCAGCCTATTAAAAGGTTCTAAGCAAAAGATGACCAAGATCTGTGTTGTAAAGACTCAGATGGGTTGGGTGGTGGGGGCAGATTGGAGGCTGTTGCAATGGTGGGCTGGACACAGTGGCTCACACCTGTAATCCCAGAACTTTGGGAAGCCGAGGCAGGAGGATCTCTTGAGGCCAGGAGTTCAAGATCAGACTGGGCAACATAGTGAGACCCCCATCTCTACAAACAAAATAAAACAAACAAACTGGAAGGTGGCCTGTCCTACAGTAGAGATGGAGAGGCACCAGTGGATCCTATACTGAGTTTCTTGTTCTCTGTTGGCCAGGTCCTGCACGGGAACAAGCAGAAGATGGTGTTCCTTTCCTTAAAGCGTTATCTAGGTGGGCAATGTGAGCTGATAAAACTTCCCAGTGCCAACATTGAATCAACAGCTCAGTTGAGACCAAAACATTAGACTCTCAATTCCTCCTCAGAGCTCACATGCAAAGATAACAAAGCTGGACATGAGGAGAGCAGACAATAGGGCCTCCATGATTCAGACCAGGGCAAGACCACTATGACCTGGGAAAGGGATGAACTAGAAGGATCAGGGCAGCAGGCATTTTGGTAGTGAGCATAAGGAAGGGACATGAGAATGCACAAGAGAAAATGTACAAACAAAGCTGGAGGGGTGCAAAGTATCTGGTGGCGGAGAAGGAAGGCCTAGAAAGGTAAGTTGGAGCCAAATGATGAAAGGTCTTGAAAGAAAACTTAGTAAAAATCCAGAGGTCTGTCTGAAGTTACAACTGCCAGGGATATGGGAACATGGAGGCAGGAAGAAGCTGTGGCTTCCCTGGCTTGTAGAATGAAGTGAGGCCCAGAGCTCCTGCTCCATCCTGGCCTATAGCCATCCCCCTTACCAATCACTCCTGGGAGCTATTAATTGGGGAATGGGATGGGGAAGAGGGCAAGGAAGCAACAGAGGCAAAGCAGGGGATCTCTCCAAATTGTCCTCCGAATTTCTAAGTAAAACCCAGTACAACCTTGAATATGTTCTTAATTATAACCTCTGATGGTCAAAAGAAACTTGTGGAGTAGTGGGGAGAATCTTATCCCCCAGCTAGAAGAAAAAATGAAATAAAAATTCCCGAGACTCACAGAAGGAAATTACTTGCCTATGGTCATACAGCCAGCAATTTATACAGCTGAGACTTGAACACAGGTCTCCAGACTCTGAACCACATTCCTATCCCCTGTTCTGCACCTGTTTCAGCAGGCAAGTGGCGCCCCTCTATAAGGCAGAACTCCCCAGCCAGCCAAAAAGCCTCCAAAAACCTAGAGTGATGCAGTCTGGAAAGCAGGGAGAACCAGATGGGCATGGCCTGGCCCCCAAAGGAGTGCCTTGCAGGGAGGGTGCCTAGCCCTTGTCTTATTTTAAGTAGAGCCCCATGTTGAATCTATTCCAGGAGGATGAAGCTGGAGAAGGCCGCTTTAACTTCTCTGCCTATGGGATGGGCCCAGCCTGTCTGCAGGCCAAGGATGGCATCTCAGTCAAGGGCGCCAACAACAATAACACCACCAACCCCCCTCCTGCACCATCTAAGTCCCCAGAGGAGATGCGAAAACTCTTCATCCAGAGGGCTAAGAAGATCGACAAAATATCCCGCATTGGCTTCCCCATGGCCTTTCTCATTTTCAACATGTTCTACTGGATCATCTACAAGATTGTCCGTAGAGAGGATGTCCACAACCAGTGAAGGGTCTGAAAGGTTGGGGGAGGCTGGGAGAGGAGAACGTGGGAATAGCACAGGAATCTGAGAGACTAAGGAAGAGAAGGGGAAGAGAGGGAGGGGGCACACTTACACAACTCTCTCTGCAATATGTGCAATAGCAAAATGCAGTGATGCATGAATTTTACAATGTGGCACTATTTAACCTCGGGTGGGCTGTGGGCGGGGGGTCAGGAGGGACTTTTCTAATATAGGAACTGAGGGCTGGGAGGAAGGGAGGGGGTAAAGGCAGGGGTGGGGATTGGGGAAATAATAGCTTTCAAAAATCTCAGTCCATGGCTGTGCAGTTTTCCTGTTGGGAAGGAGAGCGCAGTCTGCCCCAGAGCAGAAAGAAAGCAATGTAATATATGATATATATTCATGCTTAATATTAATGCAAAACCACAAAAACAAAAGATTTGTTTCTTAACCTATCAGCCTAGTAACTGCTTAAATTTTTAAAGTCACAGAAGTAATGGACAAATTTTCCCAGAGTGGAAACAGTCACAAATAAGCTTGCTCTGGTGTATGTCCCACATCATACCCCTCCAAATGCCATACCCGTCTTCAAACTGACCCAGGCAGACACATGCCAAAAAGCCATTTTGCCTCTGCTTCAAGAGGGCTGTGTGGTATGGGAAGGGGTAGTGGAAACGGGGACAGGTGGAGAGACGAGAAGGGAGTGACTAAAGAGACAGACATTTCAGAGGCCAAGGATTGAGAATGTAGGTAACCCCAGCTCAACCCTCACATCTCAAGGCCACAACTGTACCTCTCTGAGCCCTCTTGCTTCTGTGCTTCAACAATGTCCCACTCACCCTCCACCACCACCCAGAAATGGCCAACGTGGTTTTCTCATTATATTGCCAATATGCAACCTTTTTTTATGGTTAAAAAAAAAATCTTGAAAAATAATATGCAGATAGACTGAGTGTAAACAGATACTTTTTTCAAATGTCTATTTTTTTGGAGAGTCTCTTTGGAACTGCAACTCAGTGCATGTTTGGGAAGGTGGGGTCAGTGGTGTGAGATACAATTATTCTCTAGTGGTCCTACAGAGTAAAGTTTTAAGAGGTGAAACAGCAGTGTTGAGTCTGCTGCCGATTAGACATAAATGGGTGGGGAGAGATAGTAATGTTTAGAAAATGTTTGTTATATTTTGACATATCATATATCACAATGTGCAAAGTTTGGGGGGCTGACCCCGTTATATTTTTGTAAGTCTGTTTTTTTCCTTTTAGGTGCTTTAACATTTAGGAAAGTTAGACAAATATTTTTCTTTCAATTCTGAAGTGCCAGAATTGTCCTGGGACAGCTAGGGCACTCCAGAAAAAAGAAGCACCAGGAGATGAATTTAGTTTGGGGGATGGGGTGGGCATGGTCCTGCTGACAGAAATGGATATCAGAGATGGGAAGTCTGCAAGGTGGAGACAGCAGGCCTCTGTCCACTGTCAACAGCACTATGCCTGAAATAATGGCACCATTGTCTGAAGCATTTTCCCTGCTTTGGCCCATGGCCAGAGTATGGGGGTTCCATTTCTTTCTTTGCACTTTAGTGTCTGAGCTTTGGATCAAAGGTGTAGGTAGAATGTTGAGATAGCTGACAATCAGTTTGTCCTGAGGCCTGGGGTTTCAAATGTGTCTTTTAAAAATCTCCAACTTGAGGCAGGATGGAGGAGGAGTGGTAAGCAGAGAAGACACACTGGAAGCCTAACTTTTCCCTAAAGCACCTTCCCCTAGGGGATTTTCTCCCATTCCCTCAGCACAATAACTAATACAGTCCTAAAGTAGCAGGTCAAGACAAAGATCTAAAGAGATTTACATAAGGAAAATGCACTATGCAGTCAAAAAAGGATTTGGCTTTGAGGCTTGAATGGTAAAGGTGATTACATCCAGGTCCAGGGAAAATAAATTATTGCCTTCCCTTCTCTTGGCCTGTGTAGACCAAAAAGCTAAACTGTATTACAGCTTTGGATGATATGATAGAACCTGTAATCTTATTTTTCTAAGAAAACTTGGGAGATGGGAGCCAAGTGGGTAGAAGTCTCTCATCGAAGACCACTCTTTCTCCCATCACAAACATGTGTCCAACGGAGGAAAAGTTTAAAAGAGGGACTTGAACGACTACACTTCAAGATGAGAACATCAGTCTTCGAGCTGCTGTCAGCACCTTTCATTAGCACTATATTCTCAAGTGGTGCATGAGTCTTTGGAGAGGCCCTTTCACTAGCACTTTATTCACTTTATTTAGGGAAAATCATTTCTTAATCTAAAAAAATTAAGCCCTTCTTCCAACTTTACTCATTACTGGACTAAATTCAGAATGTCTGAAGTCTCGGTGAATCAGGCAACAATCGTGCTAGAGCTCCAGCAGAAACTAAAGACAACGCCATTGTTCTAAGACATTCTGCCTCCACTCAAAACAGATAATCCGCAGATTCCAAACCAGCCTCCTTATAAGTAGTGTCTGGAATCCATCTGAGAGAGAGAAATCACTGGGCCATTTGCCCAACCTCTGCTGGGTCCTTGAACTTCTGCCACCATATTCAGCTTGTGGGCCCACTGGGAGCTGCCAGGTTGACAGTAGCCAACAAACAATTGAATAATCTCTTTGAGACACAGAGGGGGAATGTCACTGAAATCTCCTCTCAGACTATTTCAAACTAGTGTCCCTTATGGAAAATCAACATGAGTGGAGTGATTATAGCAATGAAAAGAACCTGGATTTTAGTCCTGCCACTACAATAGGCTGAGTGACCTTGGGTAAAGGACTAGGCTTTAGTTTCTCTAAATACACAATATGAAGAGTAGTATAGTATCTAAACTCCCTCTTAGCTCTAAGTGCTCTATGACTCTGTGTTTAAGCTAGTCTACAGGAAATTCACATGACCAAAAATTTAATGTCACTTTGATTTCTAAACCCTCCAAGGTGGATGTGTGGATACGCATGCATAAACACATGGACCCACACATTATTGCCTTTGGAAAATTTGCAGATTTCTTTTTTCTTTGCCCCTCTTGGCGAACGGTGGTGAGGAAAGGACATGAATCATTACAAAGTCAGAAATATCATCATGAATTAAGAATGGAAGCATATTCAAGGAAAAGACATTATCATCAACGTATAATGTAGTAAGGATTTAACAAATTACATGAATTTCATCTTTATGGAAAAATCAAACCAGATAAGCTAAGCCAATTACTTTAAGTGGCTCCAATGAACAGGGCAATACTTTCTTAATTTCCTCTTCAGTTTGAGCACAGGGGATACTATGCTTTGGGATTACAGATGCCAAGTGGTATGGTGGCCAAAAAACTGATTTAGGTACAATGAACGGTTTACCAGTTTTCAAACTCTTTGCTTATCCAGACCACACCAGTATTTATACATGGTGTGAGAACTGGACACTGGCATAGAGGATTGGTGATTTCACCCTCCAAAACTACAGCTAATTCTAGGAGCCAAATCTAGGAGGTACCAATTAAGCAGACCAAATTTCTGCTTAATTGATTCTCACTTATTAGCTTATAATGTATCTCATTCATTTCAAGAATAGTCAAAATAAATGGCTGAACTTTGACACCCTCTAGTCCTTTCAAACACTGTTAGCTAAGACTCTAAGGAATGAACAAGAACAGGCATGAACAGAAAGGAAAAAAAAAAATGTATGTCCGTGTGTATGTGGATATGTAATATCTTGATTTTAACTCTATTTTTAGTTTGAGTCTAAAAAACAAGAGGATTGGTCTTTTGACCCAAATTATTCCTTCTAAACTGTCAATAAATAAGAAATGAATCCCTCTCAAAAGCTCACCAATCTTTTTCATAGGCTATTTTGTTCATACTGGGGAGAAAAATAAATACGAGACATGGTTCCTTTCCCTCAAAGTACACATCTTTATGAGCATCATAAAATATAGAGATGGTGTTTTTTGAGGCTGCATTAGATTACAGAGTGGGCTGATGCCCCACCTAAACTGGTACCATCACTGATAACAGTCTTCTGTAAAAATTAGATTCCTTAGTTAATTGCAACACACTGAAATAGAAGGGGTGATTATTATGTCTGGAGTAACTGCCTTCTTACTAGAAGAATCTGGCAAGCACAAGGCTTGGTGGTGGTACAATCTGTATCAGCTTTAGGACAGAAGTCAAGATCTAAGATTTGTAGCTGTTTCCTAGTCTGGCTGGAATCCCAGTTAAGGAGCCATGAATACCACTCCAGAAAGCATCTTATTCAACGAGCACCTTTTGCACATTCTACCCACCCTCCACACCGACTCTGAAAAGGCAGACAAGATTTTCTCTGTGAGCTATGTTTCCTGGGTTGGCTAGGTGGCTTGTACTCTGAGGGGCTGGTAAGGTATGTTGAGAAAGAGTGAATCGACCTCTTCCCTTGATATATGGCATCATTCCTTCTTGAACCAACCAACCCCAAAATTCTCTAAATAGGCAAGCAGACAGCGTGTTTTTAAAATATAATTTAGCTTCTTTTCTACCACTGAGCTCCTCCTCTCAGAAATCAACTCCAGAAATTTGAATTAAGAACCTTCCCTGGCTGGGTGAGGTAGCTCATGCCTGTAATCCCAGCACTTTGGGAGGCTGAGGTGGGCAGATTACCCGAGGTCAGGAGTTCCAGACCACCCTGGTCAACATGGTGAAGTCCCATCTCTACTAAAAATACAAAAATTAGCCGGGCGTGGTGGCGGGTGCCTGTAATCCCAGCTATTCGGGAGGCTGAGGCAGGAGAATCACATGAACCCAGGAGGCAGAGGTTGCAGTGAGCCGAGATCACACCATTGCACTCCAGGCTGGGTGAAAAGAGACTCTGTCTTAAAAAATAAAAATAAATAAAAATTTAAAAAAAAAACCTTCCTATTTTCCTGCAGTTCTGTGAAGCCAGAGACAAGTGCTAATCCTGACCAAAGGGAGGAGTAGGAGAAATATGACTTGTTTTAATTGAGCTGCCTTGCTCTTGAGAACTACTTGCATCAGTATGAGGGAAATCATGTACGTTGGTAAGGCTTTGGCCTTATTGTATCCTGAAATCCCAATGCAGAGGGAGAACATCCTTGGTAAGCTGAAATCCCTATAGAATAACTTAAAAAAAAAAAAAAAAAAAGATCCTGAAATGAAGCCCTCCTCAACCAAGCCCAGTATTAAGAGAATGAAACCAGTAACTTTTTTCTGATTGTCTTAGCTGAGGATCCCAGAATGTCAAAGGTTTCCTACAAATATCTCACCCAGGTCTGAGTAACCTAGATTTGCAAGGGCCCATACTAGATGACACCTCTACCAATTATCATCCTGTTGTTTCCTAAGGATTTCTCAAGTCGTAGAGACACTAAATAGGTTTGCTCATACGTTGGTGCTATTTCATGTTGTTTTGATGGAGCTATGTGGTTATTTAAAGCAGTAACTAAGGTGCTTTGTCATTCATTAGAACAGCAAAATGAGTTCCAAAGTAGAAAAGTATTGGGCAGTAGAAACTGCCCAATAATTTTTAATACTAAGGCTCCTTCAGCTAATAGACCATTACTTCTCCTTCCTTTGCTTTCCCCCTACTCCTCCCACTGCCTCTCTTCTGTCAGCATCCCGTTTCATCAGTTTGTGCCTCTTATTTTATGAAACTGAACTATTAAAAGATGCTGATTTATTTCCAAGAGAAGTAGGGTAGACTAGAATGGACGTAACAACTCCTGTCTTATTTGCTTTAAGGCTGCAATTTCTGTTCATTGTCTTGCCCATGCACTTTGAAATTTCACTGCTCTGCTTTGGAACATTGGGTCGAGAAGTCAAAATGTAGAGAATAGCAAACCAAGAATATACTCTTCAGAGAGCCCAGTGATGGAAATTAGATACTACATAGGCCATTAACCAGCTACAAAGCAGTAGCAGCTAACTAACCTGGGAATAAGAGACATCTGCTGGCTGCATACTGACTCCAAGCATAATGGGTCTCCCCTTCCCACCTCCACCTGGCTCCACAATTCCCTGCATTGTCTTTTAACCTCCTCTTCTTCAGACTTAACTGTTTCCTTATGCAACTCCAGAAACCCAGTATCTTATTTAAACACACCTGCCATTTGAAGTAGACAGGTCAGGGAGCGGTGTGGGTCCTTCTTCTGGTATAACCTCAGGTTCATCATGGGAATATAGATAAGCTGTTTCACTTTCTTGGCCTATTTACTCTCCTGTAAAAAGAGGAAGTTGCAGGGGATTCTTCAAAACCAAACTGAATATTTTGATGGGTTGAAGAAAAGAAGAGCTTTAGGGTGTGTTGTAAAAGGTTTCATTGTATTCTAGTATCAGACTTGGCACCCCTTCTCAGGCCTTCTGGTGAGTAGGTAGGGAAACATTTAAAAAAAGAGAAGTGAGTCTTGGCCCTTGAAGAGATTATAATCTTAATCCTTTTCCTTGAAAGTCAAGGTATTTCACAACACTGGATGACTTGCCTCTAAGACTAGCTTCTCACCTGAGAATCCCATCACTCATCAGGACATTCCACTCTGGTGTTTTAGCACGTGTATCCTATGAAGGCTGTAACCCACTTCCCATGGCAGTTGTCTGAATTCTCTGCCAAAGCCTCTGCAAGAATCAGAAATCAGAGCAGAACTTGTGAAATATCCTTAGAGAAATAACTGTAATGACTCCTCCCTGCTCCCCCCTCCCCCACCCCCAATGTAATCATAGTGAGAAACTTCCAGCAAGATTTAACAATGTATTCCCTGGTGTGTTCCTGTTACTCTAAGTGCACCTAAAGCAGAAAACATGGGACCATTCCAGACCATTGGAGGGTTTGTCTAAATTCATACCATTGACTTACTAATAAAAAGCAATTTATAGCTGATGTGACTGGAGTTGAGCCAGCTCTCACCATATTCACCCTCAAACAAGACCTCATCCTGGAAACGTTTCTGAAATGCTTCTGCACTCCTATGGTTTCAACACTTCTTATAATCAGAACACTCTCTTTCTCAACAGGGATATTATGTATGCTTTATATCAATGGAATCCGAGACAATCAATCCAAAGTCTCTTGGAGGATGGGACATTTGAGCTCAGATTCTAAACAAAAGTTCTTTTCCATAGCAGTTCACTATCTGGATTTATGTAATTGTGGTCTCATTCCAGCAGAGCAGTTTCTAACGGCCCTTTACTCCCACCCAAGCTCTGGACATGAAGTAGGAAAATGAAATTACAAGGGAAGCGTGTCAACAGAGCTGCCCCTCTCCAAAAAAGTTAAGTAGATGCTCCTGCTTGTGTTGAAGTCCTTTTGTCTGTGCAAACTAGCCAGATGAGTTCATTGGACAAGGCCTCCATGACTGTGCTTCATAGAATCCACTTGGCCTCACCTGTCTCTTCAGTTGCATCTAGCTTGGTCTTTGGCACAACAGGACCATGAGCTACAGCAGTGATGTCAGGAATGTCTTAGCTACTGCTCTAAGGGCCAGCACAGTACCCCTTCTGGTCAGCTCTGGATGTTGTTCAGAAAAGTGGCACTCTTTGAATGGTCCCTATTTAGTGACCCCAAGTCTGTCTGGTTTAGTGGGTCTCCAGGTCCACGCACATGTCTTTGGATGACTTTTGAAATGTTTCCTTAGCCAAGAGAAAGCATTTTAATCTTCTTTCAAAGTGTAAGTTACAATGGGCTCAGGAAGAACTAGAACATATTTTATTACATAAAACATCACATGCATACATAATCTCCAGTTTTTCTATTCAGATTTTTAACTTCCCTATACCTGTCTTTCCACCTGCTATATATTAAATCTATTATGGAAAATCGGTATACCATGAAAGCAGGGCATCAGAGTAAAAACACAGCCCCTTTTCCTACAATATAGAAGGGGATAATAAAAGCACCAATATCACTACTAAAAGTGGGATGTAGTAACAGGAGCAGGAGGAGAGTCCCATGGAGAGGGCAAAAATTAAATAATGGAATGTGAGCAGTAATCTAAATAGATGAGATTTTGAGAGATGAGGACAAGATTCCAGAGAGAGGGAACAGTATGAACAAAAATATGGAGATTAAAAATAGACAGCACATTTCAGGTTATTATCCATTTGGATAAAGTGTAATCAATGGGAGACACATTTGGGAAGATAGATTTAGACTACATCGAAAGCTTAAAGGGTCAGGATTCATTTAGTATAGCAGTTCTCAAAGGCAAACCAAAATGGTGCTCCTTCACAAACAGAGCGGCTTTCTATCTTCTTTCCATTAGCTGACACCTTCAGTCCAGCTCAGATTTTCCTGTACTTATTTTGAGCAAACTTAACTTTTCCTTTGTCTCAGAAGTAGAGTACCCACTAGAAATTCACATCTTCAAGAGTGTCAGTTTGAACCAGTAAGTACTATGCATTTAGTGTGTCCTAGGTACCCACTAGAAAGGGGATAGATAGGTATGGTAAAGTCATGGTTTTACTATGAGCTCACTATACTGATTCTGAACAAATTATTTCTATGCGTTATCAAGGCAATACTTAGTACAATGAAGGTATTTCTAAAGGAGAGCTTTTGATCCAAATTAGTACCTTTTATTGATCTAACTGAAATAGTAAACAGACCTGAAGAAAACATAGTCTAGCATGTCCTTTTTTACACCCTCAGTTGCATCTGAAATTACTTCTCCCAACAAACATCTCTATTCAAAGCATGAAAATCAGGTCCACAAAGAAAAAAGGTATAGAGAGGGGAAAAGAAGTCAAATATGAGTAGAAAAAATAAAGACAAACATGTAATTGACTGGTATTAAGTCATTGCTAGTCCAAGCACAGAAAAGGAATAGTTTCTTTCACAAAGCTACATTTCTTAAGCAAATTCTTTAGAACACGATTGCCTCAAATCTTTTTTAAAACTGGTGTTTATATATCAAATCATCAGTTTGCTAAACTCAACTTTTTCCACATTAGATGCATCTGTACCTCATCTAAAAGCATACCATACTCAACATGTCAATTTAGCCTGAATGGTATAGAAAAGGCTAAAAAATTGAGTTCCCACTAGGTACTTCAGAGCATTTTAAATTCATATTACTTCATATTCTAATGGTTCAATCTTCCAATACTTAAGCCATTATATTTTCAGCACTAACAACAGTTAAAATGGTATGAGTAAATTAAATCCCGAGGGGGTCCCACCTGCTTATTATATTGAATGGATATAGATAAAATACCTACTCAATGTGATCCTTGTGCTTGTTAGACAAAAGGTTAGTGCAATGTTTAAAAAAAGAAAAAACAGCTTGAGTTTTACTTTCAATTCAAAACAAACATAGCAGGGACCTCAGTGGCCTCCAAGTATGTCTGATAAACTGGATAAAACATGTCTTCAACTGCTTTGGACTTGAAATGGACAAAGTGAACCACAAAGTGACCAATACAAAAACCTAATACTTTTTAAGCCCTCTTGATATTCCAAGACTGCCAAAGGGTATTCCACTCTCATTGTCTAGATCAGCATCACAGTAGACCTGTTCATTAAAAATCACCCTATCTAGAATTGATGCAAGTTACTGCAATGAATAATTTGTAGTGCATTTAGGGTGAAGAGTGCTTGGTGCATGATTAGAATACTCAGTGACCGTTAACTTGGCAAGTGTTCAGACATACGATAGTGCTTCCAAATCACAAATCACTTGGTCCTCTCCCCCAGGAGAGGCCATAGGGAGACCTCATTCTCAAACTCGACTGGCCTAGGGAAGCTATAGAAAGAGACCAAGTTACCTTGCAGCCATAGTTGTGAACACACTGGAGACATACTTGAAAACTGGCAATGAACAGGACAACAGAGAGAATTCATTGCTAAGACAACATTAATGGCAAAGTTGTCTTTAATTTAAAACATTCCAAAATGAGTTTAAGATTACAAAATAAATGCAGTCACTGGAGGAAGGGGTTATTTTATTTATACACTCGATCTCAGATTTAGCAACTTTTAGTTTTGAGTCAGAATTCATTGACTAACTTAAGATGGGCTAGTTTCTGCCAACAGGGCAAGAGTGTGCAATCTCAGAGTCCCACCCAACCTTGCCAAAGCAAATGACTTCTGCATTAACTGGAAGTCATCCCCAAAGGACTTGCCCTTCATGTTTTCCCCATTTTGCCCACTTACTTGCACAAAAGGTGTACACTTTGTCTTAAAAGTTCCCTAGTTTGATGTTTAGGCAGAAGAGCAAATCCTCGGTTATTATTCTGCAAATAATTTTACATTTCCTTTATTCCAAAAATGTAGCTACTAAGTTAAATGTATCATGACCCACAAGGGGTAAAAGTTAGATACGAACTTCCAATAGCTAGGGCATGTTTCCTGAAACACTATGGTTCATTAGGTTCATTAGTACATTATTCAAGAAGTTATCGTAACCCCAAAGAATCTAAGAAGGGCACTGTGTAATTCTTCAGGTCACAATGCCAGCACGACTGTGGAGTCTGTTACAGGTAAGACAACCACAAGTAACAATTCTGTGATTCCAAATACTTTGGGGATGCAGAAAATGTGCTTAACTGGGCAGCGTGAATTAGCTAAGCAACACAGTGCTATGATGGAAGAGGTTCAAGATGATTCATACTTTCATTCCAGACCAGAAGTCACAAGCCCACATAGCAGCAACTCTGACAGCTAGCCAAAGTAGAAAGTATTTCTAAAAAGCAGCCTGGGGACATTTTAATTAATTGGCCTGGAAAATTAGGTCAGAATTACAAAGTTCCTCATCCTCATGAAGAAGAAAATGTGATAGTATGTCTTTTATATGGAAATTTCTTTGTATATATGTATAAACTTGGTATGGCCTTAATGCTGCAGTTAAGGATTTGTTTGGCTACCACCTTAAGCAGCGTGTTAAGCAATCGCTTCCTTAATGTAACATTTTTACTTCTTACTGGACACTCAACCTTCAACAACTAATTCCCTTTTGCCCCTTACTCTTCCCCTTCTTTTTTTGCATGAAGTCATAAAAGTTATGGCAGTTATTTTTTGGCTTGTAAAAAAAGAAATCTATTTCTGCAGTCTGAAGATGGAATGTAAAATTTCTGTGAAACATGTATATAACAGTATATTTATTGAACCATCCATATACACATATCCATGCTGATTCCAATGGAAAAAAATTAAAGTTTTCTGAAATTTTCTGTGGTTAACTCATAATTATTACTATTTAACCAACTTTATATGCAAGAACTTTCACTTACCCCAGGGAGAAACCTATGTATAACCTGGAAAATATCTCACTTTAGACAACGTTTTATGTCGAGAAATGAGAATTCATTGGTTCATTCAAGAAGTATTTATTGATAGGTGCTAGGCAAGATACAAAGATGACTCAGACACAGATCCTGCCCATAAGGAGCTTACAGTCTAATAGGGGAGAGAGAACACATACATGGGATACATGGTCAGAGCTATGTTTCAGTAAGATGAATCTAACATTGTGTATAAAGTAGGCTGGAGTAAGAAGAGGTTAAGTGAAGCTGAGAGTACTGAAATTACATAGGTGAGGAAGACAGACGTGAAAGACTTGAGGTAGAACTGACAGGACTTAGCTGAAGACTGGATATTGGGAATAACAAAAATGGAAGCAGATGACTCAGACTTTAGCATGGATGATGTCATGAACTGAAAGAAGGAACAAGTTTTGGCAAAGAAATGAAAATTTCATATAAAATTCTTCTGCACAGAAACAAACTGCCTGGGATATACCAGGCACAATCAGGAAGAAATGGCTAGTTACCCAGACCAATGGAAGCACCTCAAAATGGCCAGTGACTTCCTCCCCCTTCTATACCCATCCCCCCAAATTTCCCAACAATTTCCTCCACTAAAATGGTATAGTGCCTAACATTTATTAAATTCAAGGTCTATCTCCAGACATGCCTCCCTTAGGAATGAAAACAGAAATATATTAAGTTATTCAACTCAGTAAGTTATCATCTAAAGACTCTAGTTGTGAGTCACTGTACCTTCTGGTGGAATACAGAGATTAACTCCCTAGTCCTTATCTTCTAGGAGCTTACAGTCTAGTAAAAATAATGTAATTCTAATTCTAGATTGAAGGGGTAAGTAACTATGAGAAAGACAAAGTGCTCTAGAACAGTTTTAGAAATGAAGGTCGGAACAGGACCTCAAACAAGAGGGACAATGTGGAAAGCAGATGAGAATGGATTTGTTCCTCGGACAGATCAGCCCCAAAAAGGGCTACTCCCCATTCCTGTTGCCAATTTTTTCTTAGGAAAAAACATAGCTCTTGTACTGATCTTTTAAAAAAAACTACTTACATGGCAAGAGATAGGAGGAAAGGGGAGAGTGTAGATCTCAGTGGACCTTCAGGGAAGAGAGAAGGCACTTGAAGCCAAGGAATCACAATGCCTGGCTTATCAGGAGGACCCTAAGTGTTTTAGCAAGGCTGGAGCATCACTTCCATGAAGAGTGGGAAAAATAACTGAAAAGTAGTATTAAGACCTTGATATAAACATGGCATTGCCAGGCACTAAACAGGGTACACGCCTAAGACCAAATTGCTGCCCCCTAGGAGCTTACAATTACAACAATACAAGGTGGAAAAAGCACCACAATGTACAGAATGCAAAATGCTGAAGTATTTAGGAGAAATTACAGCTGAGTTTCAGCTATTAACACATTAGGATACCCAATAGCTTTCTGACAGCTAGTAGTAAACCCATCCCTGAGGGGAGCACAAGTTAATGTCCTTAGACAACAAGCCCTGGTAGAGCTGAGCCATTAAAGACAGTTCTAAGAAAATAGAGAAAACAGGGGTATGAAAACTACAGAAGCAACTGGGTGAACATACAAAAAGTGATACCTTCCCTTTTCCTCCTGACAAACTTTAACAGTGCTGGCCTTCCTACAGTGAATCTAAACCGATGATCACCGTATTACTTCTAGAAGCAGATCTGGGACTCTACTAGCCAATTATCTGATCATTTGTAAAATGAAGGGGTTGTACAGGTCACTTCCTAGTCCTTTCCAGCACTAACATTCTATGATTCAAAGAATTCTGAGAGTTTCTCTGTTCTTTGTGGTAATAATCAGAAGAAAAAAAATTTAAGTCTGATGCTTCTCACTCAAAAATATAATTATTTTCTATATAAATGACAAATGATCCCTATGCTATCAGCTAAATTTTACTTCCACCCTATCCTTCTTCAAAATTCATAGATTTTTTAAAACCACATGTCCTACAAGATACCTTAGCATGCATCAAATGGTTTTTCAAAAAGTTTTCTCCTCTCCTACTTCCTTATACCAGCTTCTTGGTATAATGTCATTTAAAGGGCCAAATCAGTGTACATCCAATCTTCGTAACAAAATTTTAAAATTTAGGAGAACAACTGACATCAAAACATAAGGACAACGAGTAACCAAAGTGGTTTTTGTTTTGTTTTCCGATTTTTTGTTTTTTAGAGACAGGGTCTCACTCTGTCACCCAGGTTAGAGTGCAGTGGCACGATCATAACTCACTGCAGCCTCCAACTCCTGGGCTCAAGCAATATCCTGCCTCAGCCTCCCGAGAGACCGAGACTACAGGAATGCGCCACCACGTCTGCCTCATTTTTCAATTATCTGTAGAGAGAGGGTCTTGCTGTGTTGCCCAAGCTGGTCTCAAATCCCTGGCCTCAAGCAATCCTCTGGCCTCAGTCTCTCAAAGCACTAGGATTACAGGCATGAGCCACCCAACCCACCCCAAAGTGATTTTAACTTCAGCAATAGTTAAAACTGTTTCTATCCAGGTTAAACAGGATTTAATCTTCCCTCTAATTACTACGAAAAATATAGGCAACCTTCCCCATAAGTGAGCTCCTGAGAATACTTGATTCAGCAAATCAATAATTTCTGGTAAACATCCTTAATTCACTTAAAAAAAAAAAATCCTAAGACACACTGTATGCATTGTATGCACACTGTAGCTTACAAATCTGGGACACTGGCCACATTTCAAAATACTAAACACATATGAATTTCTGTAATTGCCCAAGTCACATGATTTATTAAAGAAATAGTTGATCAGATTCCCTATATTATCTTCCTCTTACTTACAGGGAATTAAAAGAAGCTACTAGGTTTAACTAGGAACTGTGGAGAGAAGATGAATCCAATGTTCTCAAACTAAGTCACATAAACAGAAACTAAAAACCTAATTCCAAGTCAACGCATATGCATAATCAAAAACCAAAACTAGTTAAGGGTTTTAGGTAACCTCTAATCATCTTTTTACTCATTCAGGCCTTGATTTGAGACATGAAAGCATGAACAAGGCAGTTTAATTTCAGGGTTGTTCTGAGGTGGTATCTATCCACTAGTAAGAATGTAAATATAAACAAGTTTTTTTCTCACATGTGCCACCATCTCTCCTTTACTATAGTCTGTTAAGAGTTGACAGGCCCACCTATGGTCCCCAGAACCTCAACATTAAACAAATGTAAATCCCAAATATAAATCCCCTTAGAACCAGAAATTCTTAGTTATCATTTTGTGCCACATAGCCATTACTTGATTAGCAACTTTAACTCAACCCCTCATCCCACGTAAGACATTGCAAAGTTTTTTTGGTACATTAGGCAGTTAGCTAAAAAACCTGATACTCAAATAAATGTTGATGTTACTTCTTTTGCAAGTTTAAAAACGGCTCAACTAAAAAGGTCAACAATTATCTCATCTGTATGCAATACTGCAAAGATTCCTTTAAGTAGCACAAGAAGAAAACTGCAATATAAAAGACATCTTTATAGATTTGACAAATGCAACCATTTAAAAGAAACGTCACTCAGCAAAAACAGTGGTCTACAAATCTAAGCTCTTCAGAAAGGTTACCTATAAGTTCTAAAATGGCTTTCTATAAAGTGCAACATTTTCCATTAAATTGTTAAATTCTACAAGGGTTTTTCAAATAGAAGGATGAAGAAAAGTATCAGAAGGTGACAGTTTATAAGCACAAAACATAAATTCTATAAACTCACCTGGATTATGCTCTAATAAAAATACTGTTATCCACATCCAGATTTGAAGTTTGCACTAAATTATCAAATCAGATGAGAAAAAAACTTAAAAACCACTACTATTGTGTTACCATATATAATCTGCAAATCAAAAAGACTCACAAAATCCAACTTTAATTATCTTGTTTGCCCTAAAGGAAATTAAGAAATGTAATGTTAACCTTGTTCTGAATGTATTCCAGACTCAAGTCTCCCTACAGTAGGAAGCTCATTGCGGTCTATGTTACTGAAATGTAATTAGGGGGGCATGATGGTTCCAGAGAAAAATCATCAGTTTGGGAGGCAAATGCACTCCTTGCTACATGGATGACTTGGAAGCCTGTCATTTAACTGCTCTGATTCAGTTTCTTCCTCCTCTATTGTGCTGAGGACAATATCACCCAATCCGCAGCACAGATGTGAAAATTAACTTTTCTAACCTAAAGTGCAAATCATCTAACACTGTGGTAATGACACACTCATCCAAAGTCAAATTATTATTTTTGGATTATCGATCTCACTGGTCCCTAGCAATATCTGACAAAGTTGAGAACACTGGAATATACAAAGTAAAGCCCAACCTCACCACTAACACAAAAATACAGTTTAAGGCCCAAGATCTCTAATTATAAATCAATAGGTCTTAAAAAACTAAGACCCACTGAACCAAACAAATCTTATCTAGCTAAAATACTCATGAGGCCAGGTGCAATGGTGCACACCCGTAGTTCCGGCTACTTGGAAGGCAGGAGAACTGACCAGGCCAGGAGCTTGAGACCAGCCTGACAACATAGCAAGACCTTGCCTCTATAAAAATAAAAATTAAAAAAAAAAAAAAAAACCCCTCATGGGTCAAGAGTTCTAAGTTCAGTAGCTAATAACTATACATTGGGCCATTCCTATGGATGAAAATTTTCATTTTAAAATCTGAAAATGTTCAATGTGATGAGCTCCTACTGCTGCCACCTATAGAAAATGTTGCCCTAACATTATCATTTTCCAGCAGTGGAAATGTATACATCTCTGAGCTCTCATGTTTACATGCAATAATGTACATAATTGTACAAGGATTCTCAACAGTGCTGATCATGATGCTAATCCTATTTCTTAGGTCCAATACTATCATTCTAAACCTCACAATCATGCCAACTCTGATGACTGAAAGTACTGGGGAAGCCTTGTATTTTCTGAGATTGTGCAGTAATTCCCTGCAACAAATCACAAGCAGCATCAGCATGAATTGCTACCACCTCTCCACATTTACACACACATACACAACACACACATACATTTGGTACAGATAATAAAAAGTGAAATTACTAATTCCTTAGAGTAGACGTTACTGTAATTCTTGAAACAGATTTCCATTTCCTAGTTTATTTATCTGAGGCTGAGTTTCAAAAGAATGAGTCTTCATTCCAGTTCTTCTAATCCCACAGCTCCACCCACCCACAGGAATAGGGACTATCAGTATTCTCAGTGGAGTTGCTTCATATTTACACATTTGGTATCCTTAGACCCCACCCAATAAATGCCAGATGCATGTCTCTCCAATAAACCTTCCAAATTTCACACATTTCTAAATGTCCTCTAGGATGTGATAACGCCAAGCTGAGGACCGCTGCATCTAGTTAATGCCGTTAAGTCTCCAAGTAGGAAGAACTCGTTTTGAAATGTGTAATTTAGTATTCACCTGTGAAGGATAATTTCTAGGCTATCCATAATTTATTACCTTGAAGTTACCACAAAGTAATTTTTTTTTTCCAAACTAACTCAGACTAAACTTTTCTTTCCACCCACCACACGCTTAATATAAGCTACACAAGTATAAGTTGTATTTCTTCCTATTATCACTGATCTGGGCCAAAAGTGGTTACCAAAGTTACTTAAACTAACCCTACAAAAAACCCATGTGATTCAGTTACATTAAGTTTATGTAAAGGAGATGCTGCCAATTTTCAAATATTTGAGGAACTGGAACCAAACTGGTAATACCAACTTCAATGTGGTCTTAACCATCACAGCAAACCTAGAGTTTCTCAGTAACGCAAACCAAATATTCCTATGCTATCTTCGAACGACAGTCCTAAAGATGAATACTGTTAAGAAAATAAATACGCTGAATTTTACAACCTGGTTGCCCTTCAATTAGTAATGACAAATAATCAAACAAAATTTGTTTCACACGTGTAAACAAAACCTTCACCCATCTCACACACAGCACTCAACAAATAACACATATGTGAAACGAGTATTAGTCTATATTGCCAGATTAAATTTTCTTCCAGAAATATTTTAATAAAAATTGGCCATTTCCAAGTAACACCCACTGCATGCCCATCAATAAAAGAACCATAACAAAATAGAAAATTTACCATATGGCTATGATTTTAAGAAAAAAAATGCGGACACGAGCACATGAGCAAAGTCCAATATTAAAGTAACATTCCTTCTTACGGGCTATGATTAGGAATCTGATTAGATACCAGAATAAAAATACAAATGCTGAACTATTTAGGTCAAAGAACCTCTATAGAAGCATCTGTCTTCGAAGGCATTCCAGTTTGAGACTCAATTTTAGAATAAGGCATAACAAACACGTTAACAAAAGACATACACAAAGTGATGAAAGAGGGATTCTGTAATTCCCCACATACTCTGGACCTAATAAAACAAATCTAGATTTTTTTTTAATTATTTTTGTTTAAACAATTGCCAAGACTGAAATCAAAGATAAATAGAAGGCACAACAGTTTTGCTCTGGTTGTTATCTAAGTTTTGGGAATTTTTTTGCTTTTTGTTTTTTTACAAATACAAATTAAACATGAAAAAACTACTTTAAAAAACAACAGTTCAAGAAAAGCCTATCAGTTGCATTCTAGACATTTAAAACCTATTATCACAATTTAAATTTCAATGGTAAAAACAGGTTTTAGAATTGTTTTGTGATCCTTTATCAAAAGAAAATTTCTATTCCTTTTATTCAGTTTTTAAACATACCAGTGAGAATCAAAATTGTCAAATTTTCCAATGGCAATTTCTCCACACTAGAAGGTAGTCATGACTCTCAAAGAAGAAACAATTTGGGTTTTTCCTGCCTTCAAAATATTATCAAATCCTGTATTTCTTACAGGCTTTTGAAACACATAGAAAATAAGAAATATTCCAATGAAGGAAACATACCAAATGTCAGTAATACACAAGACATTCCTTTGGGGAAATGGCTGTTAAAAAAAAAATCCAGTCTGTATATGCAAAGTAAGCAAGGAAATTCAGTTTTTTTTTTCTTCTTTAAAAGTCCGTTATTCCTAAAATATCATTCCACAAAATTGGAAGTGAAAGACTAAAGGTCAGGAAAGGGAAGAGAGGGAAAGGGAGCACACACCATTAACACACAAAAAAAGTAAAATTATACAAACTTAAGCAGTTTATAACAGACTGGGGTCATACTCCAAGATACCAAAGGCTGGTCGAAGATTTCACCATTCTGTTGGAACTAGGGTTTGTATGACTGCGTGAAGATCCATGAAGATTCACTGCCGTGGCGCAAGCCCCCTTCCCACTCCAAATCCTGGTTTCTGCACCATGCCTCCACGGGGAGGGCCTCTCATTCCACCACCCAGCCCACCTCGAGGGCCTCCAGGTCCCCGAAGGCGATTATCTCGTCGGTCGCCTTCCCTGGCAGCTCGAGTCTTCTTCTCTTCGACATTCAGACGGACCTCACCTCTGAACATGATAGGCTGTAAGAATCAAGGTGACCAGACTTAAGAGTAGTGATGAGCTATCACTATCAAAGAAAGCTATAATAATGAACCAGCAGAGGCTGGGCAATGGCTCATGCCTGTAATCCCAGCACTTTGGGAGGCTGAGGCAAGTGGATCACGAGGTCAGGAGTTCAAGACCAGCCTGACCAACATGGTGAAATACCATCTCTACTAAAAAAATACAAAAATTAGCCAGGCATGATGGCACACGCCTGTAGTCCCAGCTACTCAGGAGGCTGAGGCAGGAGAATCACTTGAATCTGGGAGGCAGAGGTTGCAGTGAGCCAAGATCACACCATTGCACTCCAGTCTGGGAAACAGAGCAAGACATCGTCTCAGAAAAAAAAAAGAACCAGCAGATTATAAATCAGCTAAATTCTCACAGTTCAGTTTTTTGTTTGTTTGTTTTTTTAATGCGACAGAGTTTCACTCGTCACCCAGACTGGAGTGTAATGGCACGATCTTGGCTCACCGCAACTTCTGCCTCCCGGGTTCAAGCGATTTTCCCTGCCCCAGCCTCCAGAGTAGCTGGGATTAGAGGCGCCCACCACCACACCTGGCTAATTTTTGTATTTTTAGTAGAGACAGGGCTTTGCCATGTTGGCTAGGCTGGTCTCAAACTCCTGACCTCAAGTGATCCGCCCGCCTCAGCCTCCCAAAGTGCTGGGATTACAACAGTTCAGTTTTTAACTGAGAACATACAATTTACCATTAACAAATACCTGGAAAGGTGATTAGGTAGGCAGGCCAGTTTTAAAAAGCCATTTTAAATAGCACAGCAGCACAAGTTAACTCTCATCGTACTTATTTTTTCTCATATAATTATGTAAATTGAATAAAGAATTGCCACCTTCTCCATAGATTTGGAGGCTGAGAATAAAACCTCATCACCGCCAATGCGAAAAGATGGTACTGTACATATTTATGCAAAGTACGTATATATTTAAAATAAAAACTTCATTAATCTGACATAAACTTTAACTTGTTCTTCACCTCCTGAGAAGTTTGGATAGTCTTGGGCTTCATTTGCTAACAGAGCCAAAGTTACCAAACATTTCAATATATTCAATTATGCTCTTCACCAGCAATATAATTTTCTAATTTCTTAAAATAAGCATCTAACAGTACTTACTATGTGTCAGGGAAGTGTTCTATTCAAATTTATTAACTCACTTAACCTTTACAACAACCCTCTGAAGGTAGATACTTACTTTAAGGACTAGCAAACTAAGGACTGGGGAGGTTAAGTAACTTGTCCCATGGGTCACAACACTAATGAGTGATGAAAGGAGAATGTAAATCAAGGCCTCCAAACTGGGAAAAATAAGCTTTGAACCACTAATGTACACTACAGTATGTCATACACCAGGGCAGTCAGTCTTACATAAGCTACTTCTGCTCACACAAAAAATTACTGAAGGAAGCATAGTAGACTTCTATCAATATCATGAAATGAAGGGTGGCCACTAGGCCTAACAATGTGCTGAATGATGGATTTATCTACAAAGCCTACTGGACATTTCTGAGTTCTTCAGTGGCTTTGGTGAGATGAACCACTGTTCTCTCATTTCTCAAACAGTATTTTGCAGGAGATGCTTCACAAAAATATGTGGTAAAATAATTTGAAAGATAATGTATATGTGCATACTCAGGTTGACATAATGTTAGGACCACAACACTAAACTATGCAGTATGGCCAGGTGCACTGGCTCACACCTATAATCCCAGCACTTTTAGGGAGGCCAAGGTCAGTGGATCACCTGAGGTCAGGAGTTCGAGACCAGCCTGGCCAACATGGGGAAACCCCGTGTCTACTAAAAATACAAAAAAATCAGCTGGGCATGGTGAGGGGCACCTGTAATCCCAGCTACTCAGGAGGCTGAGGCAGGAGAACTGCTTGAACCTGGGAGGTGGAGGTTGCAGTGAGCCGAGATCACACCATTGTACCCCAACCTGGGCAGCAGAGCGAGACTCTGTCTCAAACAAACAAAAAAACCCTTGCAGTATGCCCATTAGCATTCTAGAGAATATCACTGATCTGCAATATTTCTATTACATGGTTTAAAGTACACAATTTTAATCCACAGGGACAGAAAGCGGATTAGTGGCTGCAAGGGGTTGGGGAGACAGGTACAAGGAATGACTGCTTAGTGAGTAAAGAGCTTATGGCTTTTAGTAAAAAACTTTTGGAATTAAAGGTAATGGTTGCACAATATGTGTTCTAAATGCAATTAAGTTGTACATTTTTAAATGGTTAATAGTGTTATGTAAATTTCACCTCAATAAAAAAGTATAGCTTAGTAAATTAATATTATTTATACCCTTGTTCTTCTCCACTACTACAAAAAGCAGTTTTTTGCTAGGGGAGGGGAAGCTTTCTCTGGGGCTACCACAGTAAGATTTCCATTCTACAAATTCTTCTATTATTAGAATTTACAGGGTAAGAGTACTGTTAGTAAGGGTGGTTCCAAGTAGTCTGACTATATAATTTATCTTCCAAACCCAATTTATTGACTTATAGGAGAAGTTCTTAATAGTTAGTCTCTACAAAACAGCAGTACCCCAAAACAGCCCTGGGCAAACTGGCTCTTATCTAATAGTTAAAAGTAGGTTTGTATTTCACCTCCTGTACACCAAAAGCCAATACCAAGGAAAGGTAGTTACGTAAATCTCAGTGCACTGATAACTATTCATTTTCTCATTCTCACAATTCATGTTTTCAAAAACTAAGTTATTTAAACATAAGTTTCATTTTTCTAAACCCCCAGGCAGGTCTTTTAACAATAGTTGAAAATAATGGAATAAATTACCTGAATATGTTGGAATAAACTGCACTTTACATAAAGACCCAGCTGTAAAGATAAATATATTCTAAAGAACCAAAACCTTTAAAAAAAAAAAAAAAAAAAATCAAGATGAAAAGCTGCTTACCCTGTTGCTAAGGACCTTCTGAACAGGCTCAGAATCATCAAACACAACAAAACCAAAATTGGGTAATTTCCCACCACTGTTAATGCGCAACTCCACCACGTTCCCATAATCTGCAAGTGAAACAGATTCTCAGATAACTACTTAGACCATTCCCTTTAAACATTCCATGTACACAGTCCAATACAGTAGCCACTGGATGCATGTGACTACTGAGCACTTGAAATATAAATACAGCTGGTCTGAATTGAGATGTGCCTCTCATAAGTGTAAAATTATGGGAGGCACATTTGGATTTCAAAGATTTATTATGAAAAAGTGTAAAATATCTCTCACAATATTCTTACATGTTGAAATGACAATGCCTTAAGAGTTAAATGTTATTAAAATTATCCAGTTTCTTTTTACCTTTTTTTTTCTTTTTACCATGACTACTAAAAAATTTATAATTACGTATGTGGCTCATTTTCTATTTCTACTGTACAGTGCTAGAGAGACACTAGATGAATTTAGTGTTCAAAACTCAATAACCTACTTTGAAAGAAATCTTTAAGCTCTGATTTGTCCACTTCATGAGGCAGGTTGCCAATGAAGAGTTGGTGACTGTCAGGGTGTCTCACCATTCTTCGGGGTTCAATGTCACCTTGCTCACCAGCCTCACGGACTTAAAAGGAGACAAAAACATCAATTAAAGGTAAGAGAAAGAAGACATCTTTCAGTGACTGCTCACATTCAATAGTTTTCCCTCTACCGTAAAAACAGGCAATTCCATCAACCCTACAATATTTTTATTTTAAAGTATATAAATATCAACTGCCCTCCCAAAATAAGCTCTCACCTCAAAATCCCCCAAACGAGAAATCGCCCTTCTGAGCTCTTACTTGGTCTGGGTCCCCTTTGGGGAGGAATATTTATTCGCTGTTCTCGCACTCTTTGATCCCTTTGAGGTCTCTGTGGTGGAATCTGAGATTCAGGCTTAGACTCTGGACGGGGCTGAAAAATTTTAAGTTAACTTTTGTGTTAAAACAAAGCAGGCTTATCCTTTTTCTTAATGAAGTTTCTTAGCTAACAAGTTTTAAACTAGAAAATGGACAATTCCCTAACAAGAAAAATCATTAAAAACCACCTTATACCCTTCTCTTCTGTCTTATATATCAGTTTTGTTTCTACATTGATTTGGGTTGTTTTTTTTTTTTTTTTTTGAGCCAGAGTCTCACTGTGTTGCCCATGATGCAGTCCAGTGGCACAATCATGACTCACTGCAGCCTCAACCTCCTGAACTCAAGCAATCCTCCCACCTCAGCTTCCTAATTAACTAGGACTACAAATGCATGCCACAAGGCCCGGCTAATTTCTTATTTTTTGTAGAGACAGGGTCTCACTATGTTGCCTGAATTGGTTTCAAACTCCTAGGCTCCAGTGATCAGCTGGCTTCAGCCTCCTAAAGTGCTGGGATTGCAGGCATGAGCCACACTGCACCTGACCAGTTTTCACACTCTCTAAACCTCTGTTGAATCAAATTACCAAAATATAAGTACACTTGCCTAATGTACAAGTTTTATTAAGACCTTACCTGTGAAGCTGGTACTTTAACAACATGAGGTGGTATCCCAGTAACTGGAACAGCTCCACTGGGTGGAAGGTTCTTACTGGTCACAGATGCCCAAGAAAACGTCTAAGGGAGCAATACCAACATTACATAATTATACCATGTATCAAAACAATATAAAAGCTACTAACTCTTGATTTCCTGTACAAAACAAATGGTAACACATTCTCACAGGCAGGATGGAGTTTATACATATATTAAGATTCTTCTCTTCCAGCTATTCAAAATTTAGTATTGAAATTCCTTGGGACTGATGATCAGGCAAATCTGAGAGGCTTAGGTTCAAGAAACTACTCACTTTTTTTTTTTTTTTGGAATGCAGTGGCATGTACACAGCTCGCGGCAGCCTCCATCTCCTGTGCTCAAGTGATCCTCCCACCTGTTTCCCAAGCAGCTGAAACTACAGGCATGTGCCACCATATCCAGCTATTTTTTCTTTTTAGCAGAGATGAAGTCTCACTGTATTGACCAGGCTGGTCTTTAACTCCTGAACTCAAGCAATCCTCCTGGCCTCTGCCTCCCAAAGTGCTGGGATTAAATGCGTGAGCCACAACGCCTGGCCCAAGGAAAGCTACTTTCATTCAAATTTGTGAATCAAACAAAATTCCCTCTCCTCCAAAATCAGCTCAGCTCTTCCTGCTGTCATTCAATCCAATCCATGGTACAAACATTGACTCAATTATATCAACTGTAGAATCATCATGAACACCTTTCTCACACATTTAAAAATTGTCACAACCTGTTATTCTACCTAATTATTTCTTTTCCATTTCCACTGCCACAACTCTAATTCAAACCATCATCCTCTCTTACTAGGTTTACTATAATAACCAACTAAGTGGTCATCTGGTCCAGTCAAACTACTTTCCCACTTGCTTCTTATTGTTTTGTTCTTGTGACAAGGTCTTACTCTGTCTCCCAAGCTGGAATGCAGTGACATAATCACAGCTCACTGCAGCCTTGACTTCCCAGGCTAAGCAATCCTCCTCCCTCAGCCTCCCAAGCAGCTGGGATCACACATAGGCATCACCATGACCAGCTAGTTTTTTCCACTTGCAAGCTAAAGTCATTTCAACATTGCTCTTTCCTACTCACCTATTAGCTGCCAGAGAGCAAGAACCCCTATCTGTTTTGCCAATACCTACACTTTGAACAATGCCTAACACACAGCAGGAATTTGAATTAATTGTTGAACAAACAAATGACATAACCCTGAGCCTATCAATACAGCACTAAAAATTATATTCCTTCTCAGAGTGCCAAATGTAAAGGTTTCATGAGTTCAGTTAACAACACCCTAATAAGACTCAGGAGGACAAACTGAAAACTTCCGAAATCAGGTATGCCAACTAGCAAAGAAATCTTACTTCAGCAGTTCATTCCTACTTCCACTATAAAGTTATCTTCAAAAAAATTTCATAGAAAAAGTATATTCTGCCATGTTGTTTTCCTTAAAAAGATGTTATAAATTTGTAGTAACAAGCATGTAATAATTTATAGTGTAAAAGCTTGAATATTAAAAAGATAAGGAATCACTGACACGGTGCTACAGTGGCACCTAAACTTTCTAGTCTAACAGGCATTCAAGTTACCTAGGGGAAGGGAGTGGTTTTTTTTGATGAAATAAACTAATACACATCTTACCTCTCTCTTATCAAAGGCATGGCTCAATATCTAAGAAATTTCCCTGAAATGAACCACCAATATGAAAATGTATCTACAAAAGTCAACCGAACAGCAATACAGAACAGAGATTTCTCTTTTTTAAAAAATAACTAGAAATAGAATAAAAATGAAGACATGTTTCATACCCTCAAGTCTTCCTGTACTGTCTGAGCTATGTCTGCAGGTGCTGGAGAAGAACTCTTCTGAGTATCCTCAGGAGCAGTTTCTTCTAATACTGGCTCAGGCTTTTCCTCTTGGATTTCAGATACAGGTTCTTGTTCTGGTTCTGGTTCAGGATCAGGCTCTGGTTCAGCAACAGGCTCCTCTAAATGTTCTTCCATGTCATTACTTTGATGGAAAAATTTGAGAAATATCATTCTGCCACCATTTATTTCGCAAAAAATTCCCCATCATTTATTAACCAGAAACCAGAACATAGAGTTAGCTCCCTCTATTCAAAAAAAAAAAAAAAAAAAGCTAAGAATTGTATATCTGAGTTTTTAAAAAGTAATTTTTAAAATGCCACTCAATAACTTCACTGGAATCCATTTGGGCAAATTCTGATAAGCAAATGAATCAGGACATCAAAATGAACCAAACCACTTTATGGCTGGAATCCCACAATCATTACAATTCATTTAGCATACAACATCAGAAAAACTCTCAAAATAGGCTGGGGGAGGGGGAAAAGAAAGTTGCCATTCAATGGGTACAGTCTGTTTGTAAGGTATATGAAGTTATCTTCAATAAGATTTGTAAGGTGAAAAGTCCTAGAGATCTGTCATACAACCGTATCTATACAGTTAACACTACTATACTTTATATTTAAAAATGGTTAAGATAAAAAAAAAGGTTAAGATGGCAAATTTTATGATATGTGGCTTTTAACACAAACACACAAAAACTTTCAAATACGTAAAGAATTTGGGGGAGAAAATATATTAGTTATGATTCAGAATACAATTCTTAAAATTCCACATAAATCAAACCAGGAATGCTGTTAAAACTGCAGAGGGGCTGGGCACACACCTGTAATCCTAGCACTTTGCGAGGCCAAGGTGGGCAGATCACCTGAGATTAGGAGTTCCAGACCAGCCTGGCTATGGCGAAACCTCATCTCTACAAAAATACAAAAATTAGCCAGGCATGGTGGTATGCGCCTGTAGTCTTAGCTACTCAGGAGGCTGAGGCAGGGGGATTGCTTGAACCCAGGAAGCAGAGGTTGCAGTCAGCCAAGATCATGCCACTGCACTCCAGCCTGGGTAAGAGAGCGAGACTGTCTCAAAAGAACAAAAACAAAACTGCAGATGTTTTGCCTCCTGAAAGTCTAATTCAGTAGGTTTGCAGTGGGACCATGAATCTTCATTTTCAACCAGCAATCCAAGTGAGTAACCTGATTAGTTCATCACACCTTGAAAAACACTTGAAAACACCCTTCAGGCACTGATATTAACATTCAGTGTCACATGGTAACAAGTAAATATGGATTTCTTTTGCTATCAAATACATTTCTGTTCCAATCACAAGGGGGGAAAAAACCCAAAGGTACAATGATGCACTTACAAAGGTAATGAAATTCTTTATTGCTACTTAACTCACATATTGGTATTTATATCAATTTATGCCCAATCTCTAATAGGTGTCTGTCCACTTCATATTCCGTCAAAGCATTTAATACCTCAATACATCCAACTCTTGATAAACAATATGCAAGTTTTCACTTAACACCAAGAAAAAATTGAACCAAAAAGAAACCGATATTATTTAAACTAAGCAATAGTAGATTGCCTTCACAGTACAATTTATTATTAACAATAAGCTACATATTTTTGTTTACTCAAAATTACCAGAAACAAAACCATTCTTCTAAGAAATTATTATTTTGAGGTAATTCTCAGAATATGTAAATGCCCTCCAACAAAGGGAAAGACTAGACAATGCAAGTTCTTATGCAGCCGCAGACATATGAACAAAATTTTCTTACCTGACAACTGCCTGATCATAGAAAGTTCCAGAATCATCAGGTACCACCTCAGGTGTTTGCTGTCTTTCTTCAGGTTCCTCTACTTCTTCTTCAGATTCTAAGTGAGAAAAAGATATTTAAAGTAATTTGTACTTACTGAATTCACATATACATTCACTTTCACAATGTTCACAAAACAACAGTGAAGAAAAACACATATAAATAAAGTAGGGCAATTTGGTAAAAATCATGGCATTGACTTTAAGGACAGAACTAAGGCTTTTAAGGATAGACCTTTTTTTGGTTTTTTTTTTTGTTTTTTTTTTTTTTTTGAGACGGAGTCTCGCTCTGTCGCCCAGGCTAGAGTGCAGTGGCGCAATCTCGGCTCACTGGAAGTTCCACCTCCCGGGTTCACACCATTCTCCTGCCTCAGTCTCCCAAGTAGCTAGGCGTCCGCCACCACGCCTGGCTAATTTTTTCTATTTTTAGTAGAGACAGGGTTTCACCATGTTAGCGAGGATGGTCTCGATCTCCTGACCTCGTGATCCGCCTGCCTTGGCCTCCCAAAGTGCTGGGATTACAGGCGTAAGCCACCACGCTCGGCCTTAAGGATAGACTTTAAGGCTACTGTAGTGTCTTGGTTTTTAAGAGCATGGAGCCTAATGCAGGCTTTCACATAACTGGCTACATTAGCCAAATTACATTAGGCAGTTATCTAATGCAGGCTCTACCACTTTACTAGCTAGGCAAATGACTGCTTATCTGTAAAACTATATTACAAATTAAATATACTCTCAGCCAAATAAACAACATGCAAATTCTATTATTTTGGAGAAAATTTTCCATGAGTCTCTGTGTCTACACATCTTCCATGCCTACCCTTTCTTCTAGACTGTCTTTCAAGAACATTTATAGAGCAAACAGCTTTGAAAGCGTATCTCCCCCCAGCACAAAGAGTAGGCATGTTTACTGCCTGTTGTAATAGATCTGTGTTCCCTAAACTCAGTGTCCCATGCCTTTAACACAACCCACTGCAGTAGAAGTATCATCTAGCCTTCTTCATGACATCCTGTTGGTAAATGTGGCAAAAATGCTACTACCGTTGCTGTGAGGTAACCTGTCTCCTTCTGACCTAAGAGTCTTTTATCTTCTACTAACATCCACGATATAAGCTAACCTGTTAGCAGCTTCAAGTAGGGTAAAACCTCAGATTCTTCATATGCCATGATAATTAGTTATTAATGAAGAACAGAGTGTAATGAAAACAGTAAAGAAACGCATGGTCTCTTAAGGGCAATCTGATGCCATTAAAAAAAATGTAGACAAGTAATTTAAAATATTTCACTACTTACCCTCCTGAGGCTCAGTGACAAACCCACCAAAGACCTCATCTTGGTATCTGAAGATATCATTGTGAACATAGAATTTATTTGCAACAGACCCCTGCAATGCCAACAGAAAGTTTTAATTTATTCAACAGACTTTTAGAAAGTCAAATCACTCCACACCATTGGTGACTGAGACAAGTCTGCTTCCATGAGACATCTGGCAATGTCTGGAGACATTTCAGTTTTTGTTGTTGTGGGGTTTTCAGACAGGGTCTTGCTGTCACCCAGGTGGGGGTGCAGTGGGCCATCACAGCTCACTGCAGCCTTGAAATCCCAGGCTCAAGGGATCTTCCTGCCTCAGCCTCCTAAGTAGCTAGGACTACAGTGGCGCGCCACCTTGAAAGGTTAATTTCTCTTTTTTCTTTTCTTTTTTGAGACAGGATCTTGTTAAACTGCCCTGATTGGTCTTTAATTCCTGGGCTCAAGTGGTCCTCCTGCCTCAGTCTCCCAAAGTTCTGAATTATGGGTATGAGCCAGCATGCCCTGCCGACATTTCAGTATTCACTACAGGGAATGCTACTGACAACTTATAAGGTTAGGGATGCTGCTAAATTCCTGCAATGCACAGGACAGGCTCCCACAACAAAGAATTAGTTGATCCAAAATGTCAACAGTGCCAAGACTGAAAATGCCCACTCGACAATAGCTGGTAACAAGACTACACTCACATATTTGCTCAAAACACTTTACCTCACCATAAGATAAATACGCAGAAACTGACAAAGTTCTAAGTATGTAAGATGCCACAGTTCACACCTCAAATCATTATAAGGCAATCATATTCTGGATGGGCGCAGTGGCTCATGCCTGTAATCCCAGCACTTTGGGAGGCCAAGGCGGGCAGATCACCTAAGGTCAGGAGTTCAAGACCACCCTGGCCAATATGGTGAAATCCCATCTCTACTAAAAATACAAAAATGAGATAGGCATAAAGGGCCACGCCTGTAGTCCCAGCTGCTAGGGAGGCTGAGGTGGGAGGATCACTTGAACCTGGGAGGTGGAGGGTGCAGTGAACCCAGACTGCACCTCTGCGCTCCAGCCTGGGCAACAGAGCGAGACCTTGTCTCAAAAAAAAAAAGGCAATCATATTCCTAACTTCAGCAGGTATTCCCCCAAGTCTGTATCCAAAAATATTGATATAAACACTCGAGAGTAATGTAGCCTGAAAAAGATTGCTCGCACTAGGTATAAGACACACCTGAGTGCAGATCCAATTATATAATTTATGAGTTATTCAGTTCCTAAGGCTGTTACTCCTCTGTGAAAAGAGAGGTATCAGCTAGGCACAGTGGCTCGCTCAACTCCTGAAATCCCAACACTTTGGACGGCTGAGGTAGAACTGCTTAAGCCCAGGAGTTTGAGACTAGCCTGGGCAACATACTTTTTGTAGAGTGTGTCTCTACAAAAACAAAAACAAAAATTAGCCAGGAATGGTAGCCTGTGCTTGCGGTCCCTGCTACTTGGGAAGCTCAGGTGGGATTATCATTTCAGCCCAGGCAGTCAAGGTTGCAGTATGTCATGATCCTACCACTGCACTCCAGCCTGGCTAACACAGGGAGACTCTTATCTCAAAAAACAGAAAGGAAAGATATAAACGTATGCTTCAATACTCTGTGTACTAAATGAGACAGTTTACATAACAGTGTATTATACTAACGAGAAGTTAGATACTTCCTTTAAAAGAAAAAAAAAACTATAATTAAACCTATAATTGACAATCATACTCCATGTGATTCTTTGCATATTTAGAAGTCTACCACATCTTTACATTTTAATCTAAGCCTTCCTCTAAAAATTATGACAGTAATGGCTTCGTGTAATTTTGCACAGACAAAAAGTTATCTCATATTCAAAGGTTAAAAGATTTTAGGTGTTTTTAGGTTTGCTATCCTAAAAAGAAAATTTAAGATTAATGCTAGAAGAAACAATGATTTAATCAACAAGTTCATACTGTGCCATTTCTATATACATGCTTAAGCAGACTGGATTCCTAACCTTGTTCAGTCTAGACCAATCCGGAAGAAAACACAAATGCAATCATTCAACATAAACTTGTCATCCTTTCGTAAGTATAACTAAAAAGAACCAGGCCTCCTTGAAGGAACAGGTGATTCAAGAATAGGGGCTGGGCCAGGAACAGTGCAAGATGAACCTGAAACATCTTATGCCGTAAGTGTTCAAAAAAGATAAAAAGAGAATCTCCCATCCTTTATTTACAAATCAAAAGAGAAAAAATAAGGCTGGGCACAGTGGCTCACACCTGTAATCCCTGTACTTTGGGAAGCGGAGGCAGGTGGATCACTTGAGGTCAGGAGTTAGAGACCAGCCTGACAAACATGGTTTGTCATCTTCTACTAAAAATACCAAAATCAGTCAAGTGTGGTGGCACGCTCCTAGTCCCAGCTATTCGGGAGGCTGAGGCAGGAGAACAGCCTGAACCCAGGAGGCGGAGGTTGCAGTGAGCAGAGATGGAGCCACTGAACTCCAGCCTGGACGACAGAGTGAGACTCCGTCTCCAAAAAAAAGAGAGAGAGAGAGAGAAAACATATTTAACTTTACAGTGGCAAAACTTAACTAATCAAAATTCATATCACAACTTAATGACATAATGTGCCTCTCTAACGTGAGGCAATGAATGACACACATAAAGCATCCTACAAAAAAAAGTGATTATGCTCTTCAAAAATGTCAATGCAATAAAAAAAAAACCAAAAGATTAAGGAACAACTGCAGATTAGAAAAGACTAGAGACATGATAGCTAAATGCAATGTGCAATTATAGATTCCATGTTGGACAAGGAAAAAAAATAACTCTAAGACATTATTGGGATAATTTCCAAATTTTAAATATGGATTATAGAATAATTATACTGCATCAACATTTCCTGAATTTGATAACTGTACTATAGAATGGAAGAGAATTCTTTATTCTTAGGAAATGCCCACTGGAGTATTTTAGAGAAAGAATTACACACATGTGGGCAAGTGGTGACAGCTGCTCTAGGTAAGGTGTATAGGAGTTATTGTACCATTATTCCAAGTTTTCTGTAAGTCTGAAATTTCAAGTGTTATTAAAGATATGCACAACCGTTCATTGTTTTTTTTTTCCATGTTTCGATCATTACAAAATAATCATCCCTATACATACCTCAGGAGCAAGGACAAACGTTTGCATGAATCTCCTCAAAGCCTGGTTGTTGTTAGAGAGAAGCCCCATCACCTGGACTACCACACCATCATTTAGCGTGGCATGAGCATCAACATGGCGAATCTTGGTGTGGCAGTTGGTGAAATTTTGTGACATCACTTTCCTGTGGATTTCCTTAAAAAAAAAAAAAAAATCAACTGTGAATGCCTTAAAATTTAAATAACCTCCAACTAAAAAAAAACTTTCAACAAAACACAGGTAAAGAGAATGTACATATTTAAATTATAGGAAACGCAGACTGGATTTTGATGTTTCTTTGTATACCCTATTCCCAGTGACCACACTTGAGTTTTTTAAATAACTGTTCTGAATTAACACAAAGATGACCCCCATGCTAAAGCCAATTATCTTCCAACACACACAAGCTTTGTATCATGCAAAATTAACAAATCTGACATCACATAAATATTTCAACAAATATATTAATCAAATAGTAATAAAACACATCAACTTTTACTAAAAAGTTGAGAAATTTGATCCTCATCACCAAAACCTATTAAGTATGATCCACTTCAATTTTATGAGTTATTTTCTACCTGCTTAACAGCCTAAATAAGGCTTGAAATGCTTACTTTCTGTCCGTAGACTGCATCTGCTGGCTTTCCATTTGAATCCAATCCCCCATGGACATAAGAAGAGTTCTTTCCATAAAATCTGTAAAATGGGAAGATGATTTACTTGTCATCTTCAAGTATCTTAAGTTTTTTTTTTTTTTTTTCATGTTTGATACTGGCAAATTTCTTTTTTTGGAGATGGGGTCTCAATCTGTCACCCAGGCTGGATTGCAGTGATGCGATCATACCTCACTGCAGCTTCTATGTGCCACGGCCAAGTGATCCTCTAGCCTCAGCTTCCCAAAGTAGCTGGAACTACAGGCACATGCCACCATGCCTGGCTGATTATTTTTATTTAAGTAAAAATAAGGTCTCACTACGTTGCCCAGGCTGGTCTCGAACTCACAAACTCAAACAATCCTACCTGCCTTGGCTTCCCAAAGTGCTGGAATTATAGGCGTCAGTCACCGCGCCTGGCCCTGGCAGAAATGTGTTTTCTTTTTCATCTTTGTATGCAATCATCTCTCTATCCCCTACATGCCACTTGATCAACATCTGCTGAATGGGAATGGATTTGGTTCCAGGTTTCGGCGTAGGATGATACTGTTGGGAAGGATCTTGTAGTTGCATGTCAAGATGGCCACCAATACATAAGTTCCTATTTTCACTCAGGAAGAAAATATGCAGTAAGGCTGGAACAGCTATATTCTCCATAGACTTCAAGTGTCCTTTAATTAATGTATCTGAGAATAAATGTGAGCAGTTTCCCTTAAACACCTAGTTCATGCAAGTGGTTTTAAAAGCACTTTTTAATCATTTTTGCTGATGCAATTAAGAATGTCAAAGTCAATTCCTCATAGTTTTCACCCATCTATGTCCTTCTTTGATCCATTTTCATTAAAACAATATTCCATCAAGAAAGCAACACACCAAAATGCTCTAACCCAGGGACAACCACTATTAAGATTTGACATTTGTCTTCCATCTTCCAGGTAAACACCTTTTTTTTTTTTTTTTTTTTTTTTTGAGACAGAGTCTCATGCTGTTGCTCATTCTGGAGTGCCGTGGCGCAGTCTCAGCTCACTGCAACCTCCGCCTTTTTTTGTATTTTTAGTACAGAGAGAGGGTTTCGCCATATTGGCCAGGCTGGTCTTGAACTCCTGACCTCAAGTGATCCACCCACCTCAGCCTCTCAGTCCACCTCAGCCTCTCAGCACACCTCAGCTTCTCAAAGTGCTGGGATTACAGGCATGAGCCACCATGCCTGGCCTATACTTCTTTCTTGTTGTCATGTTTTATGTCAGTTTTATTCTATGGGGTTGAAATAAATTAACCAAATATAAAAACACAAAAAAAGGCTGGACGCGATGGCTCACGCCTGTAATCCCAACACTTTGGGAGGCCAAGGTGGGCGGATCACCTGAAGTCAGAAGTTCGAGACCAGCCTGACCAACATAGGGAAACCCTGTCTCCACCAAAAATACAAAATTAGCCAGGCGTGGTGGCGCATGCCTGTAATCCCAGCTACTCGGGAGGCTAAGGCAGGAGTACCACTTAAACATGGGAGACACAGGTTGCGGTGAGCCAAGATAGCGCCATTGCACTCCAACCTGGGCAACAAGAACGAAACTCCATCTCGGGAAAAAAAAAAAAAAAAAAAGAGCCAGGCATGGTGGTGGTGTGCACCCGTAGTCCCAACTACTCAGGAGGCTGAGGCAGGAGGATCACTGGAACCCGGGAGGCAGAGGCTACAGTGAGCTGAGATCTCACCATGGCATTCCAGGCTGGGTGACAGAGCGAGACTCCACCAAAAAAAAAAAAAATATATACACACACACACACACACACACACACACACACAAACTTAGCTGGGCATGGTAGTGCATGCCTGTAGTCCTAGCTATGTAGGAAACTGAGGCAAGAGGATCACTTGCGCCCAGGAGGTCAAGCTATGATCGCACCATTGCACTTCAGCCTGGGCAACAGAGTAAGACTGTCTCAAAAAAAAAAGAAAAAAGAAAAAAGAAAAGGAAGGAAGGGTAAAAACTGCTTAGAGACTTGTTCTACCACTTAACAGTCATGTGCATATGTACTAGCAAATTTTTAAACACTCTGAGTGTATCTGCAAAATGAAGTTAACTCTCTTACAATGCCTTACCCTTCACTAAAGATTTTTGTAATGATCAGGAGGAAATGAGAAAAAATGTTCTGGAAATTTTAAACCCTTAACAAAAAACCCAAGGGTGGTGGTTCACACCTGTAATCCCAGGATTTTGGAAGGCTGAAGCAAGCGAATTGCTTGAGTCCAGGAGTTCGAGATCAGCTTGGGCAAAATGGTAAAACCGTCTCTACAAAAAAAATTAGCTGAGTGTGGTGGATTGTACCTCAGTCCCAGCTACTCAGGAGGCTGAGGTGGGAGGACAGTCTGAGCCCAAGAGTTCAAGGCTGCAGTGAGCTGTGACCTTGCCACTGCACTCCAGCCCAGGAGAGAGATGAGACTGACTCACTCTCACTCCCTCTCTCTCTCTCCCTCCCTCTCTCTCTCTCACACACACGACACACACACACTCTCACACACCTCACACACACACACACGAGATACATTCCATTGTCAGAGCAATGTCAAAACCAGCATTGAAAACATTCGTAAATTTTATTTTATACCTGATAATCATGTGGTATCCAATATGTAAGCTGGTCAAGGTATAAGGGAAAAAATAGTTCTGGTCCAGCGAATACACATTTTGAAACTATGAAATTATTCTAACAAAGCCACATAAATAGACAGTTTTGTATAAAGTGACATTGTAAGAGAAAATAATAGAAGCAATCTATAGATCCATCACTAGGAGATTAAAGTACACCATATCTCCATAAAAAACTTTGTAGCCACTAAAATTAATGGGATACAAATATTACCCTGAAAACATGATTCCAGATTATCAAGTAAGAAAGTTAAGACAGTATATTAAAACATGTTTCTTTTTTGTTTGTTTGTTTGTTTTTTTTTGTTTTTTTTTTTTTTGAGACGGAGTCTCGCTCTGTCGCCCAGGCTGGAGTGCAGTGGCCGGATCTCAGCTCACTGCAAGCTCCGCCTCCTGGGTTCACGCCATTCTCCTGCCTCAGCCTCCCGAGTAGCTGGGACTACAGGCGCCCGCCACCTCGCCCGGCTAGTTTTTTGTATTTTTTTTAGTAGAGACGGGGTTTCACCGTGTTAGTCAGGATGGTCTCGATCTCCTGACCTCGTGATCCGCCCGTCTCGGCCTCCCAAAGTGCTGGGATTACAGGCTTGAGCCACCGCGCCCGGCCACATGTTTCTATATATACAGAAAAACTGTTCCTGTGGTTTTACTGCTTTCATAATTTGTTTTAATTTTCAATAAGCATGCATCATTTTCTACTAAAGACACTGTAATTTTTTAAAGCACATCAACACAAAAGTATGGTATTACAGAAACAGTCACGGATTGTCTTCAATACATTCTTATTTTTTACATCCACCTCAGCTCCAGCAATCTTTATACTTTCTTAGCCAATAATGCATAACTATACCTTTACATTTCAACCGTTATTTTCCAATAATGTACAAGTTTGGGTAACTTAGTTTAACTTTTAAAAATTATTTTTTGGGGCTAGGAGCAGTGGCTCACGCCTGTAATCCCAGGACTTTCGGAGGCCGAGGCGGATCAATCACCTGAGGTTAGGAGTTCAAGACCAGCCTGGCCAACATGGTGAAACCCCATTGCTACTAACAAAAAAAAAAATACAAAAATTAGTCGGACATGGGTGTGGGCGCCTGCAGTCCCAGCTACTCAGGAGGCTGGGGCAGAAGAATCACTTAAACTAGGGAGGTGGAGGTTGCGGTCAGTCGAGATCGCACCACTGCACTCCAGTCTAGGCAACAGAGTGAGACTCTGTCTCAAAAAAAAAAAAAAAAATTGGGGGACATTTATATGCAAATAAGTATTATGCAACAACCCTACAAAGTATATGATGATGAGTGGGAGAATCTCAAAGATAAGTACCACATACTAAAAGACAGCATTAGATGATGCAGCAGAAAAATGTCTTACTTACCTATGCAGCATGTCTGGGGCCTGGTTCAGCAGTGTGTAATATTGTCTCACAAATTCCCGCCCGACCAGCAGGGGACTAGGCTTCTCCATCACCATTGCTTTGGTCAATTCAACCTGGGGGGAAAAGAGTCAAATATGTCCAAACCTGAAGGATCAAACACAGGGGAAAAGACCGAATCATTTAGCTGAAACCAACTCAGAGACAAGATCACTTCAGCAAGTCGTTTAAAACACTAACAAACATCATAAAAACAAACAGAACCCAGAGACCAGTTGAGATTTTATACAAAGGTATTGCAATCGTAAATACAAAAGGGGGAAATCATTATGAAAAATTCATCATTATCCCTAATATTCAATATATAAGAACCTCAAAGGTATGTATTTCCAACCTACATCCCACTATAATTTTCTTGTTTTGTTTTTGAGGCAGAGTCTCACTCTGTTGCCCAGGCTGGAGTGCAGTGGCATGATCTCAGCTCACCACAACCTCCACATCCCAGGGTCAAGCGATTCTCCTGCCTCGGCCTCCCGAGTAGCAGGGACTACAGGCGCACGCCACCATGCCCGGCTAATTTTTGTATTTTCCGTAGAGACAACGGGGTTTTAGTATGTTAGTCAGGCTGGTCTCAAACTCCTGACCTCATGATCTGCCCGCCTCGGCCTCCCAAAGTGCTGGGATTACAGATGTGAGCCACAGCACCCGGCAATTTTCTTAAGTTATTAAACCCAAATAACAGTGTTCCAGTTATAAAGTTATAAGCACATTCTTACTTGAGGCAATATTAGACTCAAAGGCAATAATCTTAAACAACACAGCTTTGACATCCAGAGACAAACGATCACATTTTCTGGCCCATCTAAATCAGATAAACTTTTAGAACAGCATCTTTTAAAAAGAAACTACAAAACTAAAAATTCTCAAATGCTTACTACTTCATTCTATAATGTAATAAAAAAAAATTTCAAAATAAAATGGGGAAGTTAGCAAACAAAAATGCTTACACTCAAAATAATTCCTACTGTATCAAAATTGTGATAATTTAAAGTTAACACCTTTGAGTGCCAAGAAAGGCACCTGTCCCATAAGAAGTCCAATTATTGTCAGCTCTTACCAAAAAACACTTTTTGAATTAAAACCCTGAAATGAGATCATTCCAGCTTTTCATTCATGGGAGAAGAGATAAAATTATCCCAAACTTAAACATAAAGGCAAACAGAGATAACGTACAGATTTAATTACCACAGAAAAGAAAAATTTTAGCTTTTTTTTTTTTAAACAGGATAGACAAAATAGATTGATCCATTTCTAAACAAGCAATTTGTGAAGATATATTTACTCTCACCTAGTTCATCTTTGCATTATTCTTGAATATCTATTCCAATTAGTATTTGTTTCACCAATGCCTGTTATTGTCCCCAAAACTACAGCCACTAAGATCAATATGAAGGTTCCCAGTCATACTAGGAGTATTTCGCCTTCAGGCATGTGTATTGAGGATATCAGTAAGAAGAATCTGGATCCTAAGTCTTAGACTAATGTACTTTAAAAGTTAGCTGGCCACGGTGGCTCACGCCTGTAATCCCAGCACCTTGGGAGGCTGAGGCAGGCGGATCACTTTGTCATTAACTTAACATTTTAACAGTTTATATCATTCTGCAAACTAGGGTCTCAATTAGCATTTAATTTAATTGAGTTGAGACTGTCAACTTCAGAAACATGCAACATGTTAGTCAAACATGCAAACATGCAACAGCTGTTAGTCAAACCAAATTTTCAATACTCTCGTACTGAAGATTTGCCTCAAATACCCTTATAGTTTCCCATTTACACTGTAAACAGTTCCATTTGAGTGGCAGCTGGCTCCTAAAGTCACTCCTTTAATGTAAATAAATATATTATCTATTGATAATAAATATCCACCAAAGAGCTCAAGGGAAACAGCAGCAGTATTTTTTTTTAATTCCACATGACTAAATATGTATTTCCTTTTAGTAAAAAAATGAAACTATACTGCTTCACTGCTTTAAAAAAATATAAGTCCTAAATTAAAATAGTCAAAGGCTTCACAAACTCTACATTAGTCATGGTCAGATAAAACATACTGAATAAAGAATACAAACTTTTTCCCAAATATTAAGTTTTTTAAGAGCAGAGACCATTTCTTACCCAACCTTTTGGCCCCAAAACTTAATGTCTGACACATAATAGACACAATTTTTTTATTCAACCTTCTCATACAAAGAGGTTAGAATTTTATACTAGCAGAGCTTATTTCTGACCATCTAACTAACAAAACTGACTTACCAGATTTTCCAGCATTTAGATAACATAACACTGTTTCTTTTTTTTTTTTTTTTTTTTTTTGAGACGGAGTCTCGCTCTGTCGCCCAGGCTGGAGTGCAGTGGCCTGATCTCAGCTTACTGCAAGCTCCGCCTCCCGGGTTCACGCCATTCTCCTGCCTCAGCCTCCCGAGTAGCTGGGACTACAGGCGCCCGCCACCTCGCCCGGCTAGTTTTTTTTGTAGTTTTAGTAGAGACGGGGTTTCACTGTGTTCACCAGGATGGTCTCCATCTCCTGACCTCGTGATCCACCCGTCTCGGCCTCCCAAAGTGCTGGGATTACAGGCTTGAGCCACCGCGCCCGGCCCAACACTGTTTCTTTAATTATTAAAAAATGTTTGAGATTAGTCTGGGCAACAACAAAGCAAGACCCTATCTCTGAAAAAATGAAGAAGAAAATATTAGTTAACTGTAGTGGCACATTCCTGTAAGTCTCAGCTACTCAGGTGGCTGGGGCAGGAGGAATGCTAGGGCCCAGAAGTTTGAGGCTGCAGTGAGCTATCATCATGCCACTGCACTTCGGCCTGGGTGCCAGAGCAAGACTCCATCTCAAAAAAATAAAGTATAAAAATAAACATAAATATAAGAACACTGGCCAGACACAGTGGCTCACGCCTGTAATTCCAGCACTTTCAGAGGCTGAGGTGAGCAGATCACAGAATCGAGAGATTGAGACCATCCTGGCCAACATGGTGAAGCACTATTTCTACTAAAAATACAAAAATTAGTCAACCGTGGTGGTATGCACCTATAATTCCAGCTATTCGGGTGGCTGAGGCAGGAAAACTGCTTGAACCCAGGAGGCGGAGGCTGCAGTGAGCCGAGATCACACTACTGCACTCCAACCTGGGCGACAGAGCATGACTCCGTATCAAAAAAAAAAAAGAATGTTTAGGTAAGTTCTTCACTGATCAAAGACCACACACTGAAAGTTTAGTGAATAATTTTGTTATTCTCCGTTAAAAAAAATCTGGGCTGGACTTAGTGGCTCACGCCTATAATCCCAGCACTATGGGAGGCCAACACAGACAGATCACTTGAGGCCAGGAGTTCGAGATGAGCCTGGCCAACATAGTGAAACCCTGTCTCTCCTAAAAATACAAAAATTAGCCAGGCATGGTGGCAAACTCAGGAGGCTGAAGCACAAGAATCACTTGAACCTGTGAGGCAGAGGTTGCAGTGAGCCAAGATCACACCACTGCACTCCAGCCTGGGTGACAGAGCAAGACTCCGCCTTTTAAAAAAATAAATAAATAAAATAAAATAAAATAAAATAAAAACCTGTTTCTTTGATCATTCACAGCAAAAAAAAAAAGAAGGAAAATGTAAATTTTGGCAATTTGAATCTATATAGTGTAATAAATCCTAAAAAATTGTAAACCATCTCTCTGAAATCTTCATCTTTTCTGGCCCAAAAATAAAATACAAGCTATGAGAAATGTGAACATAATACCTCTTGAGAAAGAATTCTCACTCTTGTTCATCAACTCTCAATTCTATCAAATCTAAAAATAATTAAGCAAATTTAAACAGATTAGTCACAGAAAGGCCGGGCGAGGTGGCTCACGCCTGTAACACCAGCACTTTGGGAGACCAAAGCAGGCAGATCACGAGGTCAGGAGTTCGAGACCAGCCTGACCAACATGGCAAAACCCTGCCTCCACTAAAATTACAAAAAAATTAGCCAAGCATGGTGGCGTGCGTCCATAATCTCAGCTACTTGGGAGGCTGAGGCAGGAGAATCACCTGAACCCAGCAGACGGAGGCTGCAGTGAGCCGAGATCACGCCACTACACTCCAGCCTGGGCAACAGAGCGAGACTCCATTAAAAAAAAAAAAAAGATTAGTCACAGAAAAGACAGTTTTGCCAGTGACTAATCTGCTGTTACAGACATTTTATGAAATCTATGAATTACCTCTAGGGGGGAATAATTTTTAAATAAAAATGTATCCATTATCAATGAAAACACATGCTAGTATCAGAAGGGGAAAAAAGAAAATATATGCTAAAAATGTCCAAGATTCTCCCTCATTTATAAATACTCTCAGCACATTAAGTCCTTTTCTACAGAGGTTTTGAAAATTTCTACAACTATGGACTTTGGCTGTTCCTAATGTAATGGCATACACCAATGCATGTTGAAATATAAATAATATTCTTAAGAATGATATACACTGATACCATTAAGATCTACAAAGATCATGACCTTGAGTTTACCAGTTCCAACTGAACCATCCAAATTTAAGACAAAGTTTAAGAGTTGTCAAAGGCTACCTTTAACATGAGTAAAATATGACAAAATAACTTTGAAATTGAGTGTTATTTTTAAATAGTGAATAAACATTTCAAAGACAACAAAAGGAAACCCCCAAAATTTATTTAACCAATTCTCACTAGGGAAAATTCTCCAACACCATTCACTTGCTGTGACCTTGAGCTAGTAACTTAATCTCTCTGCACCTCAATTCTAACGTCTGTAAAATTAAAATCAGAATTATAGCAATTAAGTGCCTGACAGTAAGCACGAAATGTTAGCTATTATTACTATCAGTATTAAAATTATTAACTATAATGAAGAAAACCATTTCTACATCCCACTCTCTTGTGTCACCTGGATGGGTATTTTCCTTATTCTCCTAGAGATTAAAATGGAAGAGTATTTCCTAAAGGAGTTAAAAAAAAAAATCCCAAGCATCTAACATAAAACTTTATCTACCTTTTGGGTGAACTACAGCTGATCCTTCAACAAGGTGAGAATTAGGGGCATGG